AAATAGTAACATGTCGGAGATAAAGGATTTTTAGATGGATTTTAATTTATCCTAAACCAATAATTTATCTGATTATTGCTTTGCTTATGAGACAAAGAAGGCTTGATGGATCTTTAAACACTTTTTATTGTTCGAATAAAATAATTTACAGACTAATCCTCGTAGGTATGTTTAAAGAAGATATATGGTAAGAGTTACGTATTTTATACGAAAAAAATACTTTTTATTGACCGGTTCTGATTAACTGAATGTTTAAAAGCATGATTAATCATAAGTTTAGATCAAATTTAATTAGATTATTTATATTCTGATTAATCAGGTGTGTGTAAATCTGAGAAATGATTAATTTATCAGATTTGGATAAAATCACTCTACTAATATACGGTCGGACGACTAAACAATCGATTAAACACCCTTTCTTAGAAGACATATGTTTAATAAAAAAAACTCACAAACAACAAAATAACTTCTAATCTAAGGAGAAAAACAAACCACATGTGGCGTTTCTTTTGCATGCACTGGAGGTTTTAAAGATAGCCAGCCAAAAAAAAAATCAACTATCACCAACTTAGCTCAAGCAATCTAGCTCAAGCGCGATCATAGAGTTTAAGCAAATTTTTGAACTAAAAAGCATGTTATCACTAAGACTCAAGAGCATCAATCCAAATTATCTTTTCATTTCCTGGTTAGAAACAGTGAAAAAACGATCATAATTGAAAATGTCCGTTTAAAGATACACACTGACACACACAAAAAGGGTAAGAAGAACATGAAGATACCTTGTAAGGATCCATGGTGATGAAAAAGCGTTGATGATCCCAACAGTGATTTGAGGTTTTGGTTTAGTGAGTGTGTTGAGGATCCTCTGTGTAAATCTATATATAGTGAATCGCGTCTGCTACGCACAATAATGGCGGCCCCAAGTGGAGGGGTACTTTTGTCCTTTCGAGATCAATTTATCGGTACAGTAAAAATGGGCCATTGTGTTTACTTTTCCTTCGGGATAAACAATAATGCCCCCACTTTTTTTTTGTCTTCAATGCCCCCGCTTAGATATTTATTTTTCCTTTGTTAGCTCCAAGCCTCCAACCCCAAAAAAAAAAAAATCATTCGGTGATGAATAATAATAGATGACCCCTACAGGTCAGTATTGCTCGAGAGGAAAATAAAAAATATCTTTCGAAAACAATTATTATTGTGACAAAAACAAATCACCAAATCGTCCAAATCTCAAAACCAAAACTTTAAACAATAATATATCATGTTATAAAATTTATTAATATGTAAACCCGATGGCCGATAGACGACCTGTTTTTATTTTCCTCTTCTTTTTTTTTTTAATTTCGAAATACACAATCTTTCTATATTAGCTTGGTTTGAGACGTGATAAAAAGTGTGCTGTTCTTACGCTTTGGAAGCAGAATAAATAAGATCATAATTTAAAAATGCAAAATTTAACTAAAAGATAATGTATTAGAAATAATTTATCTGTCATAATTTCGTGTATTGTGAGGTAAATTGTTTACTCTATAAATTTGTTGTCCAAAACTTAAGCCATATCAAAGCATAAGTGCTTAATATGGCATGAACAAAAACTCATAGAAGAAATTTCATATAGGACCATGATCGTGTAGTAGTCTGAAACATGAACTAACTAAAACGGGGTAATCCGATTGATTTCCATTTTCCAAACATGTAATTATTTTTAATTTGGATTTTCGGATCTCAGAATATTTATGTACGTTATAGAAAAGTCGCGTGATACATTTCATTTCATCACATGTGTTTGATCTTATCGTATTGAAAGAGGAAGTTCGTGTCAGACACATACTGCATGGATAATGTTTTTTTCTCTTGGGTATAGTAGCCTGAGATTTCTACGTAATAATTTCTTTTCCAAGATTATACGATGTTTCGATCGGTCGACCAAAAGTAGGATTTATTTTGAAAATTTTGGCAACTTTATCTTGCAAAATATTTTATGAAATTCAAGTGGAATTAATGAGCTGAACCGGTTAAGATTGTTTTATTCTTATCCGATTAGATACGGTGTTTTATGTTTGCATAAATAAATCATATTGATGAAATCTAAATTTACGGGTTGAAAATTCAAAACATTTTATTAATAAAAAATGCTAAACTAACTAATGGCATTATTGAGTGGGTATGGTGGGGAGTCTATATGTTTGGGGTCATGTTGCGATTACCAACACGTTATGTCGATAATGAATCGATCGATGTTTTGATTGGGGAGCTTACACTTGGGCCCCTTTAAAGTGAACAAGTTGCTCTTGTTACTTAGTTCAATATTTTTACAACTACGTCAAACTGCTCCAATACTATTCTCGAAAAATTGCAATCATTAGAAGACAATCTACTTCTATCTCCGCCTAATATCAATATTACACATTATTTTGTTTTTGAGTAAAAGAGAATATTAGTTTATCCGGTTAATTCATGTAGGCTTTTTGTTATATAACTAGAAGTTCAGATTTACTAGACGCCTTTTCATATCTCTAAAGAACGATATATGCATGTGACATGTTGTGTTGAGTGCAGTGACTCAAATTAAAGAGTCAGATGTGTGATACTTTTGTATTTACATAAATACATAATCGAGGGTGTTCTCATCATGGGTTAAAACTTATTGTTTCATCGTTGTAGGATGCAAATTCAAATTCAATATTGTATTGAGTTTGATAAGATATACAGATCATAGATTTTATTTTTATAGATATAGTTCGTAAAGTGTTGATCTATTTACAAATCATAGAATATATATACATTATCAAATATTACTCCTGAGCCTAAAAAATCATGAACCCACACGTCCTACAAATTTGGAATTTACAAAAGGGAAAAAATATGAGTTATTATTAGATAAAGTTGTAGAAATCATCTTACCAAAGAAAAGTCTTCGTGTCGTCAAAAAAGCACGAGAAGACTTGGTTTAGTGACGACAAAAAGAGCCACAAACCTAAGCTAAATTGTACTATGTATATAAATTTATAATAAGTTTATAGTAAGTTTCGTCATATCATGCATGCAAACAGCATTACTTGTCAACTGTTTGTAGTGAAGAATTCTAAGTTACTCAGCCTTATATAACCAAATTTCTTTTATGAACTATTAAATATTTGGATTTTGATCCATAAATTTCCTGAGCTACAGAACAAGACTTTAATAACAGCTATTATGAACTAATAAGACGAAACTCGAAAGAAGATAACAATAGAAACGACTAACACGTTTTTACTTTATACAATCACTCTTCAAACCTAAATTTTGTTTTTAGTCGATGTATATATTCAAAGCAAATAAGAGTAGTTTTTGTTCACCATATGAAAAGAGAAATCACAGTTACAAAAAAATTGGTCATTTTTACTACAACAAAACATTTATATAGGAAAAAATCTAAATATCGTATTGGATCATAGACTCATAGTACTTTATCTTGGGTATAATTATGTATTTGCACGTCACTTTAAAACACAGAATATTTTAATTTTTCAGTTTTAAATTGAAAGTAAATAGAAAATTAATGTTGACAGTCATGCAAATTACCTAATCGACTAATACTAATTCTTGGATCATGTACGAGGGCAACTGGGATCCAGTTATAAGCTGCCACGTAACAATCTTACCCTCACTCAGTTACTTTTTTGATGTTACCCAACGAATGAAAATGCGTTTTGTGGATCAACACGACAAGAAACGGGATTACACCTTATCCCTTTTCTTTTTCCTTTTCTAGAAAGGAAATACTTAAAATTTGTCAATGGAATTGAAAAATCAATAAGAAAGTGGGAAAGAATTTTTGCAATCGAATCTTTTGGTACATCCGTTTCTACTCAGATTGGGACTTAACAAACCATTTCTGTATTATAATGATTGTTTCCTTTTCACTTTAGCTCTTTTGGTTATTTTACAGTGAATATTAAAAATGTATAGAACGATGTCACCAACTTCATTTATAAAACTCGTGATATTAAATTAAATATTTACATAAACAAAATTTAGAAGTTATTTTTTTCTTAGTAAAACAAAATTTTACTAGAATGATCCTTTTTATGTAGTTTTCGATAGTTTTTAAACATCTATCAAAATATGTATAACCAATTAAGGACTTTGTGATGTAGAGTTAAGAATTAATGATATTGAATTTTGTACATTACTTAGGGTTTGACGTTTATGAGAACATTTATTCATTGTAGTTTAAATCTATCAATAATATATTTAAATATACATAATGTAATTTATCATTTATGGGCCACATATCATTTACATCTAATACAATGGGCTCTAATGTCTACTCAGATGGTAAATTTTGGGCCGATCTGCAATTTTGATGACACCTTGATCAAGGGAAGACGTAGCCTTATAGTTCTTGGTGAAAATGAAGTAAAAACTGCTATGCTATCTAAATACTAAATACAGGCAACATGGAAGGTAAGACGTTGTAGAGTTTGCCAATCAGACAGATCTGATATGAGTGAAAGTGAAATCTGATGTGTTTTACAACTTATAATCTATTCCCCATGAAAATAATAAGGTGTATGTTTTTTTTTTTTTAAGTATGTTTTTCTTATAGAAATCATATTTCATAGAAATATTTGCTCAAAATCTAATGAACATATACAAAAAGTTTTTAGGAAAAAAAGTAGTTCAAATTAAATTGGGCGATATAGTTAGTTGTTGTGTCATAATGCGGTTAATATACTGTCCAAAAATTAATAGTTTGACAAAACGTGAAGAAAAACAATTCCATTCAATTTGTAATGGAAATTAATTACAAGAGGCTAAAAAGGTAAGAAAATAGAAAATCGAATAAAATCGTTGGCACTCCAGATAGGTTGCATGCAAAGTAAGACGGATGAAAAATGGGAAAGTCCAAAGATATCTGAAGATGACACAGTTCTTGGCGTGCTTCTCTCTCTATTTCTCTCTATTTAAACCCCATTTCTCTCCAACATAAAGCACTTATTAGCTTTTTGTGGTCGTTAATTATGATTCGTTTTCTCTCAATCGCTTAATGTTTTGAATGCCATCACTTTTCGTATTTGGACGACGTTAGAAGCATTTTCAATTCGTTCAAATGAGTAACCGAGTGCGAATCTTATTAGTATCCACCACAGAGAAGAAACACTCAGGAGAGGTTCAAGGGACAAAGCAGCATTGGTACAATGGTTTGTATCATCAAGCCTCTGTGTATGGTGTAGCCACAGGTTATTGCATCTCAGCTTCACTTCTCTCAATCATCAACAAATGGGCAATCATGAGATTCCCTTACCCTGGTGCGTTAACCGCTCTTCAGTACTTCACAAGCACACTTGGTGTCTTACTCTGTGGCCAGTTAAAGCTCATCGACCACGATCCTCTCAATATCTTGACCATGTGGAGGTTTCTTCCCGCAGCGATCATGTTCTACCTCTCACTCTTCACCAACAGTGAGCTTCTCCTTCACTCTAACGTCGACACTTTTATCGTTTTCCGCTCAGCCGTTCCCGTTTTTGTCGCCGTTGGAGAGACCCTTTTCTTGAAACAGCCTTGGCCATCTCTTAAGACATGGATCTCTCTTGCTACCATTCTTGGAGGAAGCTTGCTCTATGTGCTCACTGATTACCAGTTTACAGTCACTGCTTATAGCTGGGCCATTGCGTATCTTGTGAGCATGTCTATAGATCTTGTCTACATTAAGCACGTGGTTACGACCATCGGGTTAAACACTTGGGGTCTTGTGCTTTACAATAACTTCGAGGCTCTTCTCTTGTTCCCACTTGAGCTGCTCGTAATGGGAGAGCTGCAGAAACTGAGGCATGAGATCAGTGATAAGCCTGACTGGTGCAGTTTCTCGGTGGTTTTGCCGGTGGGTTTATCTTGTTTTTTCGGTTTGGCTATCTCTTTCTTCGGTTTTTCGTGTCGCCGGGGAATATCAGCTACCGGGTTTACGGTTCTTGGTGTTGTGAACAAACTGTTAACAGTTGTGATCAATCTGGTTATATGGGATAAACACTCAACTTTCATTGGAACTTTGGGACTCTTGATCTGTATGTTTGGTGGAGTCATGTATCAGCAGTCCACGAGCAAGAAACTGAAAGGTCTACAAGAAGATAATCCGCAAGAACAAGATGATGAACAAAAGAAACTACAATACAACGAGGAAGCTCATAATAAACTATGATCGTACACGAAGCGACGTAGAGACATATACATGCTTTGCAAAGATGCCAATAAACAACAAAATTAGGAAACAAGAAATCGTAGCACTATTTCAAACCTAAGACCAAAAGCATATCAAGTTATTTAATGTACATGCAAATAAAAGCAAGAAGTTATTGATGCGATTTTAGCTAGACACCCAATGATAGTCAGTGGTAGTAATGTAGTCACATAAGTATCTCCTTTTGAAATATACTCGAAGATGCAATTAATCAATGCCATTGTTATGTAAAAGTGTGTATATTCCCATAAAGAATTACTCCACTACTTAATGAACATTTCAAGTTTTTTTTATATAGTTTGGCTAAAAAAAAAGAATGTCATTAATTCATTATCTTGAGGTTAATATTAATTTGTCTTTTGGTCAAAGAAGACTAATTTCATTTCTTTCAAATAATCATTTTAAGGATACTTTTTCATACAAATAGAAGTATTTATATTTCTTTGTTTTTATAGAAATTATTACATAGTATAATTTTAAACTTTTTTCCGAATATAGAAAGAGAAAAACCGAAAATTTTGAAAAAGGTACACGCATGAAAAAGACAAATAACAAATGATAGTCGTTGCGTGAGATTCATTGAAGAAGGTAAGTTATTTTATGGTGGCCAAAAAAAAAGAAGAAGAAGAAGGCAAGTTATGATCTGGGGCATGATCCAACGGCTGAGAGTAACTAGCCGTTAAATCTAAATAAAATTCTCGTCTTCAAATCTGTAATATCACAACCTTTTTTCCTTATTTTTTAATCTCTTCTTCTTTCTTGGTATTGCCCTTATACTGCGAGAGAGAGAGAGAGAGAGAGTGAGTGAGTGAGAGTGAAAGGAATCTTCAAAACGTAGCGATTGGAGAGAAAGAGAGCGATATCGGTTCTGGGTTTTGCTAAAAGATCTCTCTTTCTCTCCGTTGTTTGATCAACTGAATCCAGGGGGAGACACTATAAAGGTTTAGGAGATTTCACTGAGTAGGAATCGTTCCTTGGTTTGATTTTGTGATCAGGCGTTGACTTAATTTCGCGGTGGTTCTTTGAATTGACGGCGGAAGGTGAATCCTTTTTTTGTGGGTTTTAGTCATCTGGGTATTGGGGATTAGGTCTTGTTCTTGATTGGGTCATTGGGTGTTTTGAGATTAGTAAACCGGATCTAAAGGGTTCGATTGTCAAGAGTCAAAGACAGTTTTTTTTTGTTGTTTTCAATTTTAAAAATCCTGCTTTTAAGTTGGGGATGTTTGGATTTTGAATTTGGTTTCGAGAGATTTAACACTCCAATTAAAAACCTCCGCAGATAACGAAGAAAATGGGTAAATCTGATGAGAATAGCCTTGGATTAGTTGGATCAATGAATCTCCAAGGTACCCAAAATCGATTATCTTCCTAATCATAATCAAATCCTCGTATTCATCGTTGTTAATTACTTTTTTTATTCTTTCTCTCTTAAATCCCAAATTGTTTACATGGTGCAGGCGGAGGAGGAAAGACCATGCCGGCGGCGAATACAGGGCCGACCAGGAGAGCTCTCAGTACCATTAACAAGAACATCATTGAAGCTCCGTCTTACCCTTATGCTGTCAACAATAAGAGGTCACTTTCCGAGTAAGTGTTTCCTGAGATGAATCCTCAGATTCGAGATTAGCTTTTTTTTTTCCCTCCCCTTTGAATTTGATTCTTAAGAATCCAACTTTTTTTATCTGATTTTGCAGAAGGAATGCCATCTGTAACAAACCACCTCTGCATCGGCCAATCACTAGGTACATTAGATAGATCTTCACTCTTGTCTACTTTCAATGTCCTCACATTGTCTGATTAATGAGTCCATTAACGACTTTTTACTACTCTCTGCCGGTTTAGGAAGTTTGCTGCTCAATTAGCGGATAATAAGCCACAAATCCAGGAGGAGGTACTCTATAGTGGCACTATTCAATACGTGTTTCAGTTAGAACAGTGACATAGACCAATGTTTTAATTTTCATCCTCTTTTAATTTTAGGAAACTAAGAAATCAGACTCGGTTCCAAGTGAAGAAGTAGAGAGAATTATCATCGATGTGGATGATAAGGAAGAAGTAGACGACTTTAATAAGCCAATGTTTGTGCAACACACTGAAGCAATGATGGAGGAAATTGACCAGATGGTATTTTTATTATTATCTTTTTTTTTTTTTTGAACGCAAAGAACTTTTATTGATGATGATCGGTTACAGCAGAGTATGACTTAGGGGCCATACAGATTTTAAAGAGATCACACAAAGTGTAACTCTTAGAGTTTAAGAACCTGTTATAGATAGCAATCGAATTTTCCGCTTCGAGTAAAAGAAGGATCCATAGAAATGGCAACTAGCCATGACCACCTCTATTACCACGACCACGATTCCCACGTCCACCCCGAACAATTTGCCATTATCTCTTTATTATTATCTTAAGTTCTTGATCCTTATGTTTTATGGAAGCTAACTCACATTGCTTGTTTCTTCCAAAGGAGGAGGAGATTGAAATGGAAGATGCATATGAAAAAGAAGAGCGAGTGATCAATATTGACGCTTGCGATGAGAAGAATCCGCTAGCCGAAGTTGAATATATCGGTGATATACACAACTTTTACAAGAAAGTTGAGGTAACTTGAAATTTTGCTGTTCTTTATCGTCTGTAACTTGGTCGAATAGCTCATACAATATGAGAAGTCCTATTGAAGTGTGTAATTAGGCATCAATCCAAAACTCGACATTAAAAGCATTGATGTTAAGAGTTTGTGTTCTATTCTCTTCTCAGTTTTAAAAATTCAGGATTTTTCAGTAAATAAGAAGGATTCTGTTTGTGTTTACATTTCATGGTTCAAGATCAGTCTAGTATATGATATTAGAGGTATCCTTAAGAATGAAAATGGTTCAACTTTTGAAACTCTAGACCCTTACCTGGAAACATCCCTTCCATGTATTTGTCGAAACTTTTATCATCATTGACATCTCTATCACTCTGTTAACTCCTTCCCAAAACTATAATATTCCGTAAACTTTTCTAAATGAACTGTGATAAATCTACATCTTAGTCTCCTAGCTGCAGTTTAACACATAAGTTGCTGTTCTTTGTCGTCAATGGGCTTCTAGTTTCGAGGTCCTGATTTAATGTTTGATAATTTCTTATGATTCTGTAGGAACATAGTTGCGTGCCTCCTAACTATATGGACAATCAGCAAGATCTTAATGAGAGGATGAGAGGAATCCTCATTGACTGGTTGATTGAGGTAGATAGGTCCAGACCAAAAAGGCGCTTTTATTTTATTGTTGTTGATCTTCAATGTGAGAAATTTAAGTGAAATTTTTGGAGCAGGTGCACTACAAGTTTGAACTGATGGAGGAAACTCTTTATCTCACAATCAATGTCATCGATAGATTCCTTGCCGTTCATCAAATCGTGAGGAAAAAGCTTCAGCTTGTTGGTGTCACTGCTTTGTTACTAGCTTGTAAATACGAAGAGGTCTCAGTTCCAGTGGTAGATGATCTCATCTTGATCTCTGACAAAGCTTATACTAGAAGAGAAGTACTAGATATGGTGAACATTATTTTCTTTTGATCATTAATCTAAATATGGTGAATTTCAGTTTCAGTTGACCTTCTTTTGGCTTCTATTGTAGGAGAAGCTCATTGCCAACACCTTGCAATTCAATTTCTCTTTGCCTACTCCGTACGTGTTCATGAGACGGTTTCTCAAAGCTGCCCAATCTGACAAAAAGGTTTATCTCCATTTTTTTTTTTGAAAAAGCTCTTTTATTCTAGGAACCATGAGGCCTTTATATCTGTATTATCTAAAACTGTGTGATATGCAATTTTGGTTTCAGCTTGAGGTTTTATCGTTTTTTATCATCGAGCTTTGCCTCGTGGAGTACGAGATATTGGAGTATCCTCCGTCCAAGCTAGCAGCCTCGGCAATCTACACTGCTCAGTGTACACTTAATGGATTTGAGCAATGGAGCAAGACCTGTGAGTTTCACACAGGGTACAAGGAAGAACAGCTACTGTAAGAATCACAAAGTCATGAACATATAATTTGAATTTCGTTTTATGATAAGAGATATTCTAATTCTGGAAATTGGCTTTTGTTTTTTTTCTTCTTTGTTTTTCCAGGGAATGCGCAAGAAAGATGGTTGCTTTCCATCACAAGGCAGGAACAGGGAAGCTGACAGGAGTTCACAGGAAGTACAACACATCAAAGTTCTCTTATGCTGCAAGGACTGAACCAGCTGGGTTTTTGCTTTAATGGAGGAAAAAACTGTAATAAGATCAGAAGTGCCGTCCATAAATATTTGGTGGCCTAGAGTTATATGAAAAAAAAGAGCCTTTGGATATTTTCAAAAACTTTAACTTTTGGTTTCATTTTTGCAACACTTTTTTTCTATGAATGTATCTTGTTTCATATAGAAAAAAAAAAAGAATTTGTTGATCAAAAATAAGTTTGTGTTACGTTTTTGAAAAACAAATCTATTTAATTTTGAAGTTGGTGCTGTAATTTTTTTAAGAAAAATGATTTTATAGAAGTGATAAATAGAATCAAGAAAAATTATTTTAAAAGAAGAAAATGGATTACTGTGTTTGACAATTATTTAGTTGATAATAATTGATACTTAAAAATGAAATAAACATGATATTACTCATGAAAAGTTGAAAACATATTAAAATTTTTTTAGAAGAAGAAACTAAGAAGGTATGAAGAAAATACTTCTAAAAAAACTTAGATTATATAAGTCACATGATGTATCAAATAAATACGATGTATATTGTAACTAATTATTTAAAGTTATCTTGACATTTGATGAAATATAGTATTACTTATATTCAATTCTTTAAATACGATGTATATTTATCTCAATCCTGTTATTTGTGTTCATGTTTATCTTCTAATTACGTGTATTTTAAGTGGGCCTCGTGGCCTTTTTATATCGAGACTTACCCATTGGGCCTTCAATGATAACCCAGTCGACAAAAAAAAAAAACATCTTAGTATTCCAAAATACAGAACTACAAGTGCATCTGGACATATCTCTTTGTTCTCTCTTGCTAGAGAAGAACATTGGTTTTACAGTGAACTCTAAAGCAGTAAATAACAGACGCAAGAGAGGCCGGCTTTGTCTCAGAATCGAAGCTTACATGCTGAGCCTAAATTCAATCATCTCCTCACAGGTGGTACCGCTCCCCTTCCTCCAGTTCCACGCCCAGTAGCCGGACGCCCAGTAGCCGGAACCTTTACAATAACATCACAGAGATTCAAGGATCCAACAATTAGTAGTGATAACGAAGAAACAAGCATTAAGGACAAACAAGGATTTCACCAAAACTTCCTAACATTGCTGTATTGAGAGAGAAAGAGCGAGAGATGAACTTACTTTTCCTCGCATTGCCGCCCTACCTCTGCCAACACCAAGGGATGAGCTCTTACCCTGCAACAATGAAGCAAGTAAGGTATTAAGTAAATTGAGGATGGATAGACATAGAGACTCTAATATCTTTCTGCATAAAGGGTTCAGAAATCATATACCTTGATTCTAGCATCTAAACGCTTGAACATAGGAGCATGCTTGAGAATGTCTGGTATGACCATAAACCTGTCAAGATCTCTCCAAAGGTCAATTACCAATACAGGAATAATCCCAACAATTATACATAAAAATAGTAAGTGTTTAATATAGCACCTGACTTTGCTGCCTCGAATAAAGACATGTTCAAGCTGTGATACTTTACCATCCTGTAACACAACATTGGAAAACCCACAACAAAAGGTCAGTGAAAAATTACAGGAGAACCCATTACGTTGTATTTGAAATACACATATGCGGAAAGATTAGTTATGAGAGTCAACACTTGAAGGGTGAATATAGATTCTGAAATTTGGAACTGGAAACTTAAAAAGAGTTCTTTCAAAAACAAAACCACAGGTTTCATTCAAACCTTGAGAATACTTAATATAATCTTAAGGAACCTAAAGCTTTCAGTCCTGCAAACTTTAGATAGTTCACCTTGACACACTATGATCCGAAAGAGCAACTCACGAACTTTCAATGTAACATTACAAGTACAAAAGTAGAACATTCCTTCCAGGACAGATTTTCACATGCCCCATCTGACTAGTACCATTCTCGTAAGATTTTAATTAGCCAGAACTCCAATGATTTTCAATCACCCAGGGAGAATAAACGAATTTTCTAAACTCATATAAGAAAAGCAAGCTAACGCCGTATGAAAAAAAAAATTCCAGGCTCGCCAAATCTAGGGTTTTCACAGCACTAAAATCAACAAATTGAAGAGAAACGAAACCTATCTATGGTTTACAAAACATACTCCAGTCTAATGAATCAATCAATTTTAGGAAGACTGTAGATTACCTTGGCGGTATATGTAATGTCCTCGAGCTGGCAGTTCCAGTTATCCTCACACTCGATCATGCTTCCTCTGTAAAGCTCGCCGCTCTTTAGCTCCACTGTCACGATATGACCAGACGCCTCGTGAAGAAGCTTCACTGGTATCCCCAAACTTCGGCTCATCTCTCTCTCTCTGCAAAACCCTAATTAAGACCTTCCGTTTTACTCTGCAGCCTAGAACAAAAAAAATGGCGGAAGGAAGGTGAGCGATTCAGTTGCTAAGGACGATTTTAGCTGTTTTAAAGCTCTCCTGATTTATTTCGGGCTTATATTGGGCCCTTAATAAACATAAGGCCCAAATTTAAGAAATTGCATTTTCCTTTCTCTATTTTTTAACATTAATGTATTTTATTCCCTGTTTTTTTTTTTTTGTTTTTACAGACGACGGCCGATTTCACAGAGCGGATCGGCTGGTTAAAACGAAGGAAGCCCCATTGCAAAACTCGCCGGGAGATTACTCAAATTTCTTAGCGTTTTGATCGGAGAATTCTCCGGCTGCTATGGCGGAAGAGAAGGAGACGAAAGGAGGGAAAAAGTACAAGTATAGCATAATCGTTCCTACATACAACGAGCGCCTCAATATCGCTCTTATAGTCTACCTCATCTTCAAGCATCTCCGGTAAAGGACATTTTTTTATTTGTTAAATCTCATACTTGCGATGAATATGCCGGTGTTTGATAATTTTTTTATAATCAAATTGGGTTTTCTATATCGAATTCTGGATCCCATTTGACTAAATTGTTAAATTCGAATCTGATCGCCGATTAGTGCTTCAGTATTTCTGATTTTTTTCCTTCCTAAAGGATCAGATGTAATGGATCTCCGCAAATTTCCGATCATGGTTTTACATTGTAACTTGAAGATCCAAATTCGTGATTGTTGTTTTTTTGCGCATGAGCTAGTAACCCAGTGTTATGATCCCTCAAACAGTGTAAAAGTAATTTCATGTTGTTTATAGAACCTCTGATTTAGTGATCGGAGAATGAGCTGAAGCTAGATGTTGTCCTCATCTCAGACTCTGGTTGTGGTTTCTGATAAGAAATTGTTCTGCACTTGTGAAGTAGACTCTTAGCAGTCAAAAGGTTATTAAGAAAATCTATCATTGCAACAACAAAGTAAAAATCGATGAAATGATTTGTTAGCCACTTCTTGTATGGTTTAGGGATGTTGATTTTGAGATAATAGTTGTGGATGATGGGAGCCCTGATGGCACACAAGAAATTGTCAAGCAACTGCAGCAATTGTATGGTGAAGACCGCATAGTGAGTAAAATACGATCTGAGTATGTGTAATTTATATGGGCATTTCTTCTCTTTAGTTGAACTCGTGTTTGTCTTTTCAATGATGCAGCTTTTAAGAGCTAGAGCCAAAAAGCTTGGCTTAGGTATGTAATTTCATACTTTATCATCTTCTAACTTTGCTTAACAAGAAGGGAATTTAATTTTCTTGGCATGATCGTTCTCAGGAACTGCATATATCCATGGTTTGAAGCATGCTACGGGTGATTTCGTTGTAATCATGGATGCTGATCTTTCACATCATGTAAGAGCCACCTACTGAATTTTTTTTTTTTTCTGGTTGTCTTATCTTTTTGTTGAGCTAACTCACTTTTCTCTTGTGCAGCCGAAGTATTTGCCAAGTTTCATCAAGTAAGTAGAGTTTCTTGATCTCTTACAAAATCCATAAGCTTATAATGGTTTTAAGTTGACTCTCTTTTGTTCTCTACATCATGAAGGAAACAGTTAGAGACAAATGCAAGTATAGTAACCGGTACACGGTATGTAAAAGGTGGTGGTGTACACGGGTGGAATCTTATGCGGAAACTCACAAGCAGGGGAGCAAATGTACTAGCTCAAACACTTTTATGGCCTGGTGTTTCTGATTTAACTGGATCATTCCGGTAAAATTCAACGAACTTGTGCATCTTTTTTTTTCTGAATCATTCGATAGTTTCATGACTAACTTCAACACGTCTTTATTGAAAAAAAAAGGCTATACAAGAAATCAGTGCTTGAAGATGTGATTAGCTCATGTGTGAGTAAAGGCTATGTCTTTCAGATGGAGATGATCGTTCGTGCTACCAGAAAAGGATACCATATTGAAGAGGTCTCTCTTCAGATCTCTACTTGTGATTTTGATTCCTTTAGAAACTATATTTCATTTTTTCTCTGATGCTCGTCTTTATCTGCAGGTACCGATCACTTTTGTGGATAGAGTATTTGGAACGTCGAAGCTGGGAGGATCTGAAATAGTGGAATATCTAAAAGGCCTCGTCTATCTTCTGCTCACGACTTAAGAGATAGACACCAACATGAGTCTCATCATACTCTTCTATAGAAACTTCACTTTAGCTTTGACTTTGAGAGAGTTGCATCTTCCAAAGACTGAAAGTTCACTTTATAGACGATGTTCGTTTTCAATGCCGAGTTGAGATATTTTACACTTGATAACAAAAAAAAACAAGAACAGGTTTTATTTTATGTTTTAGACTGTTCGTAATAAGTAAATCTAATCGAGGAGGGCTTATATCGAAAAGAGAATAACTGGGCTGATTTCACAAGAAATGAAGCCAAAAAAAGCCCAAGTGGAAGACGATCATCGTACTCTCCACGAAGCTCGAGCCAAGTGGCTGATGATATTCTGGCCAAACATGCACTTATCTTTTGTCGGACAATGATTGCTGTTAATTCCTTTTTGGTACAGATTCGTGTAGAGCCTTCAGACTCTTATGATCTAATATCATTTAATGAAACGCAGCAGCATCACCACTATTCAAGAGCGACAGAGCAAACAATACTTTCCGGCGAAAACAAAATGGAGGGAACTCTCAAGTCTCCGGCCAACTACGTTCCTCTCACTCCGATCAGTTTCCTGGATCGATCTGCCGTCGTCTACGCTGACAGAATCTCCGTCGTTTATGGCCCCGTCACCTACACGTGGCGCCAGACCCGTGACCGCTGCGTCAGAATCGCCTCCGCTCTCTCCCACCTCGGGATCTCTTCCGGCGATGTGGTTAGAACTTTCTCATCCATCGATTCCTCTTGATTTATTCCTTTTTAGCTTGATTTATAATTTGGTCGCATGCATCTGTCTCGCAGCTTGAAGATCATGTTTGTTCCCAAATCGTTAATAACTAGGATATTTTTTTTTCCCTTTCGCAAGCTTCAAAAATTCATCATTAAAATTATCAAGCTACTCGAATTTGACCATGACACGTTTATCAGGTTTCAGTGTTGGCACCAAACGTTCCAGCTATGGTTGAGTTGCATTTTGGTGTTCCCATGGCTGGAGCTTTGCTCTGTACACTCAACATTCGCCATGATTCCGCACTTGTAGCAGTTTTACTCAGACATTCAGGTACAAAAGTGCTTTTCGCTGATCATCAGTTTCTCCCAATTGCTCAAGGAGCTTGTGAAATCCTCTCAAAGAACCGTGAAAAGGCCCCGCTTTTGGTCTTGATCCAAGAGCCTCTTCTTCAACCTGTTTCGGGGAAGAAGAAGAGCTTGATGGAATACGAAGATGTTGTGGCCATGGGAAACTCGGATTTCAAAGTCAAAAGACCAAAAGATGAGTGTGATGCTATCTCTCTTAATTACACATCAGGCACCACTTCAAGCCCCAAGGGTGTTGTTTACAGTCACAGAGGTGCTTATTTGAATTCTCTGGCTGCGATTATACTCAACGAAATGCAATCCTCGCCTACTTATCTATGGACTAATCCAATGTTTCACTGCAATGGCTGGTGCTTACTTTGGGGTGTTACCGCAATTGGTGGCACTAATATATGCTTGAGGAATGTGACCGCAAAGGGTATATTCGATAACATTTCCAAGCACAAAGTGACTCACATGGGAGGTGCACCGACAATACTGAATATGATCGTCAACGCGTCTGAATCCGAGAAGAAACCGCTTCCCGGGAAGGTGTCGTTTATAACCGGTGCTGCACCACCACCGGCTCACGTGATTTTCAAAATGGAAGAGTTAGGGTTTTCTATGTTTCATTCCTATGGGTTAACCGAGACTTATGGACCAGGCACGATCTGTACATGGAAACCTGAGTGGGACTCTCTGCCTAGAGAAGAACAGGCGAAAATGAAAGCCCGGCAAGGCGTGAATCATTTGGGGATTGAGGAAATAGATGTTAAAGATAGTGTAACCATGAGAAGTTTGCCAGCTGATGGTGAATCTATGGGTGAAGTTGTCTTCAGGGGAAACACAGTGATGAATGGTTACTTAAAGAATCCTGAAGCAACCAAGGAAGCTTTTAAAGGAGGTTGGTTTTGGAGTGGCGACTTGGGCGTTAAACACCCTGATGGTTACATAGAGCTGAAAGATCGGTCCAAAGACATTATCATCTCTGGAGGAGAAAACATCAGCTCGATTGAAGTTGAATCTGTTCTGTTCACTCATCCTTGTGTTCTTGAAGCAGCTGTGGTTGGGAGGCCTGATGAGTATTGGGGTGAGACTGCTTGTGCGTTTGTGAAGCTTAAAGACGGGTCTAAGGCCAGTGCCGAGGAGATTATCAGCTATTGCAGGGACCGGCTTCCGCATTATATGGCTCCGAGGAGTATTGTCTTTGAGGATCTTCCTAAAACATCGACTGGGAAAGTCCAGAAATTTGTTCTGAGGACCAAGGCTAAGGCTATGGGAAGCTTAACAAAGAAAGGCAGAAGCAAGTTGTGAATTGGTAAGCTTTTGTTTACTTCTTTATCATGTTGGTTAAGCTAAACCGGCATTGTTGTATCATTCTGAAATATAAACCAAGTTGTATCATTCTGAAATAAATTATCACGTGGTTTAAGCTACACAGGATTTCTTGTCCTAAAATAGACCAAGTTGTATCTTTCTGGAATAAAACAAAAACGGTGGTGTGAAGTTGTACTTATGCAAAGTTAGATCTGTAGCATTCTGACTTTGAGAAATTATTGTAATTATCATGTTGGTTAAGCAAAACCGGAATTATTGTACTAATATATAAACCAAGTTGTATCATTGTAGAATAAATTATCATGTTGGTTAAGCTCGACAGGAATTGTTGGACTAAAATATACCAACTTGTATCTTTCTACAGTAAACAAAAACATTATGAAGGTATAAAATTAGATCTCTAGCATTCTGACTTGAGTAGTTGAATCTGATGGCAAGTAGGTAGATACTATATATTATCTTAGGGAATCAATCCTTAAACACTGTCTCGTTATAATCGTTTGTTTTTGTTCTTTAACTAAATTTCAATTCTTTTTAAATAACCTAAATAAAATATTACTGTAGTCGTAGGAAGTCGTGCTCAACTCATACAGATATATTTCATATCAATACATTATACAGTATTTTAATCGGTTTTATTCGGGGTCGGATTATGTTTTGTTTTTCTTCCCCAGATCGATGTTGATATCAATTTTTTTAAAATTTATTTTAGCTTTCATATAACCAGAAGATAATTGAAGACTTTTTCTTTTCTTTCTTCTGACTCAAAGATGTAGACCATATAAACGGTAAGACTTGTGTGATTGGAATTTGTTAACATGTATATATAACTAATTGATATTTATAGCGAAATTGAAAAAAAGTATATCTTATATTAAAAAGTTTCTAAGTGCCGCTACGCATGTGATAATGATACATATTCAACTTCTTTTTTAACTAAAGCAAAATTTATAATTGCAAACCAATGATCACTATATCAAAAACGTGTAACGATTAGAGATGAAATTCTTATCACCGTTATGGCGTGATCAAGCTTTTGTAATGGATTGCGACGTGTAACGAAATGACTGAACTTGTCTCAATTCTCCAAGACTCCAATCCCTTGTTGGAAATTCACATGGTGAAACTTGTAAGTTGCAACAAGAAAAAACCATATTATGTAATAATACCTTCAAGGCGTAAAGATAAACAAACGATTCAAACTTAATGATCTATTATATGCATGTGAATAATCTATTTTGCTCAATCAATACGAGCGCTTAACCAACGATACTACTCGGTTAGATTGTACGATCACAAACCGTTGCTAGTTTCCCGGTTTCGGTTTAAAATAAGCATCCATAAACTCTTAAACCGGCTCACACCAATTTTGTTAAGCGATGGTGACAACACCAAGCAAACGGAAACTGGCAGAAAGGCATACAAAAAGGGTAATACTTTCCTTCGTAGTTCACGCTATTGTTCACTTACACTCTTCTGCTAAAGTTAATAACTGAAATAGTAATTTCAAATATTCTTCTTTTTACTGATAAATAAGAAATAACAAAGATGATAAAGCAAAGAGTAATATTTACACTAATTTATATTTCAGAGACACTAATGGCTTTAAATTTCTAAAGTGATTTAAAGAAACAAAGCTTGTTTGGTGGAAAAGAAAAGAAGAAGAAATAAATCTTGTAACTGGCTCTACTGTCAAAAGATGATAAGAGTTTCCAAGAATGCTAACATTATCAATCTTGTAATTATTCGATAAATCAAGTATAATTAAGCAAAACAAGAAGATTAACAATCAAAACAAACTAGAGCAACAAATAGAATAACCTGCAAGACTTAAACAATCCAGCTCATGATATCATCAGTCATCATTATCAAAATCTGACACTAATTTTGTAATTAATTAATTAATTAATTAATATATACAGAGATCATATATGTGTGTATACACATATACACACATTATAAAAAGCTGTTAGAAGAAGTGCTGGAGGCGGTGCCTCATTTCTTTCAGAGCCCAGAAATCTATAAGAACTGTCCCAAACCAAAAACAAAAACCAAAAAAATGACATTTCTTAATTCTTTAATGGAACAAGAAAAAAATCAACCTTTCGCTCTCTCTCTCTCTCTCCATATATAAAAGATGAAGCGAGAGAGAATCTCGAATGATTGTTGTGGTGATGATGTCGTGAAAAGAAAGAGTAAATTGCAATAGACAAATGTGTTTTGATTTCGATTGTGAATCTTCTTAACCACTCTCTCTCTCTCAAAACCCAAAAGAGAAGGACTTTCGTTTGTTCCTCCATTGAAACGGAGTTTTTTTCTCGAATCACTCTCTGGCGTAGAGGCGAAGGTAAAAGCGCTGCACTTATAGCCTTTCCATGGCTTTCCAACGGCGGCGCTACAATTACTATAACCGTCTCCGCCGTCTCCTCCCTCTAATTTGCGCCGTCTCTGGAGCTCTCCTCATCCTCTTCGCTCTTCTCTCCATCTTTTCCCCTCCTCCGGATGATTCCGATCACCGCATCTCCGTACACTCTCTCTCTCTCTCTCTCTCTCTCTCTGTAGACTTATAAGTTTGTGTATGAAATTGTGATATCTCTGTCTTATAACGCCATTGTTAATGTGTAATTGCAGAAGCAGATTAACTATGGAGCCAGTGAAGAGAAGAACATAGCTGTCGTTTTCAGAGTTCCGGTTAGGGTTCTAATTCATTTCTTAGATTTTGCTATTTGATTATCATCTACCCAGATGATTGTTCTGACGTTCTTTTTTGCGAAGTCTAGATTTTTTTGTTGCATCTTCCGTAATTGGGCTCTTTTGGGGTTTGTGTTTGTTTTGAACGAAACAGAGAAGTGGAGGGAGATCAGATCGTGATATCTGGCGTTCATGGAATGCTGAGTTCTTTTACGGTTGCTGCAATGCAAGTATCCAGTTCCCAAGTGCGTAAAGTTGTTTACTTTTTCTGTTATTTTGGTGTTTAGAGATTATGTGAATTAGAGAGAGTGTTAAGCATAGATAGCTTGAATATGGAAGTTAGCTAGAATCAGCCAATACAAGTTTTCTGAATTTCAGGGGGGTTTATAATTTAGTCACATAATTTTTGATTTCTTACTGCAGATGCTAAAGCAATTACTAAAAGTGATCGGTACTTGGCAATCGCTACTAGTGGTGGTTTAAACCAACAGCGAACTGGGGTAAGTTCCTTTAGCTTTTCTCTGATCTTACTTTGTTTCTGAAATCTTGTTTGTTTTGAGTTTGACTATATGCAATGTTTCTTTCAGATTGTAGATGCTGTTGTTGCCGCACGAATTTTAAACGCTACGCTTGTTATTCCAAAGTTGGACCAGAAATCTTACTGGAAAGATGCCAGGTTCTTGCTTAAACTTTATTTCACAATTCGTAAAAATCAAAACTTTGTGCATCTTAGTAACATTTGATTATGTGCTTTTTATGCAGTGACTTCTCGCATATTTTCGATGTTGATTGGTTTATGTCATTTCTCTCAAAAGACGTCAAAATCATAGAGCAACTTCCTCAGAAAGGAGGTCGAACGTGGAGTCCCAGCAGAATGCGTGTACCGAGGAAATGCAATGAGAAATGTTATATTAATCGGGTATTACCTGTTCTTCAGAAAAGGCATGTAAGTTTTCCTGCTTTTCTCTCAATCTGTTTGCTTCTTAGCATTTAAAAAGCTGCATCTTTCTTTTTGATGCTTATGTATATGATTATGATCTTGTAAATGTTTGGTTTCAGGCAGTTCAATTAAACAAATTTGACTACAGACTTTCAAACAAGTTGAGAGATGATTTGCAGAAGCTGAGGTGTAGAGTAAACTACCATGCGCTAAAGTTCACTGATCCCATTCGTCAAATGGGTAACGAATTGGTCCGACGAATGCGGTTAAGGAGCAAACACTACATTGCTTTACACCTTAGGTTTGAACCTGATATGCTAGCCTTCTCGGGATGTTACTATGGCGGTGGTGAGAAGGAGAAAAAAGAGTTGGGGTCAATCAGAAGGAGATGGAAAACTTTACATGTATGGCTACAGATCTTCTTATATGTGCCCCTCTATTTTCTTCCTCTTTTTGTGTGGAATTAACGAGTTGAATATTTTATAATTGCAGGTAACTAACCCGGAAAAGCAGAGGCGGCAAGGAAGATGTCCACTTACACCAGAAGAAGTTGGATTAATGCTTCGAGCTTTGGGATATGGAAGCGATGTTCATATATATGTTGCATCAGGTGAAGTTTATGGAGGAGAGGAGTCTTTAGCTCCATTGAGAGCACTTTTCCCACATTTCTATTCAAAAGACACTATTGCTACAAAAATGGAGTTAGAACCATTTTCTTCTTATTCTTCACGAATGGCTGCACTCGATTTCCTTGTCTGCGATGAAAGCGATGTTTTTGTTACAAACAATAACGGAAACATGGCCAGAATATTAGCCGGTCGAAGGTAATTAATTTAACCAAAGCTTTTCTTTTTTTCTTTCTTCTTCATTATATGTTTGTAAGGTTGTTTAGCTTTTTGTGTTGAAAGGTGTTGTTGGTTGTATGCAGGAGATATTTTGGACATAAACCGACAATCAGACCGAATGCGAAAAAGCTGTACAAGTTGTTTTTAAGCAAAGAGAACACAACTTGGGAGGAGTTTGCTTCAAGAGTCAGAACATTTCAGAGAGGATTCATGGGAGAGCCAAAGGAAGTAAGAGCCGGTAGAGGAGAGTTTCATGAGAATCCATCCACTTGTATATGCGAAGATACCGATGCGCAGACGAAGGCGGGAAATGTGGATTCAAGAAAGCTCGGCAAGAAAAGCAAAAATGATGTTGTAGTAATAACCAATGATGATCAGAAGGAAGATGAAGATGCAGAGTGGTCTCCGGAGACAGATTATGGGGAAGACCAGGCTGATTTGCAGGACAGAGGATTGTATAATGGTACGAGGTTAGATTATGAGGATGTGTCATCGGTTTCTGATGAGCCTGAGCTAGAAGAAATGCTATCAGATTGATTCAGTTTTTTAAAAAGATTCAAAATTGTTTTTTTTTTTCTCAACCTTGTCATCATTTTCTTCTTTCTTTCTGTACATAGAAATCCAATCCATTTTGTTTTCCAATTCATTTTCTTACTTTTGCCGACAAGAATATTTGCTACTTGGAAGAGTTTGAGTGAATGATGGATAGATAGATACATCAAGATCCAAAACAAATTGTATCAAAAGTACATTGTTGTAAATACATTAGTGCCCAACTTTTTCCCGACGAGGATTTCGATGGGTCGTATCTGTGTCAGAACGAAAGAGATGATGAGCTTTTACTATATTCTTGGAAGAAAAGGCTTGACGGATTCGATGACGACCTAACACATATATCCAAGCAAGAAACATTAATCAGATGAATCCCCAAAGTTCTTTAGTGTAGGTATTTATGATTCTCTTGATCTTGTGATTCGATAGGGACATAGGGTAGAAGAAATTTACTTACCCTTCCGTCGTATGATAATGATGCAAAAACCCAAGGCTCACGTGAGCTCCAAGCAAGGCCTGTGTTGTGATTGAACAGTATTTTAAGTAAATGTCAGAGTGTAGTTTTTGTTTCATAAGATAGTGGTAATCACAAGGTCTGAGAGAATTTACCATAGACACTGTCTTCATAATCCGTGTATGAGTTGAGCAACAGGTTTACACGCTGACGGGGTGATTCGACAGAGCTGTGATAGATGGTAATATGGACTCAGAACAATGTTGGGGTAAAAAAAATTCAAATAATGGGTTTGAGGAGGCTAAGGAGATTTGTGATAACCTCTCTGAGGTTTTGTCATCACTGGATGATGCAGAAGCAAACCACAAGTTGACAGCTGAGTCTGTTCCAGCACTCTGTGTTTCAGTAACAACGTTTTTAAATTTAGCTAGCGAGTTGAAGCATAGGCCTCGTTTCCTAAATTAAGCTTTATCATTTACTAAAGAAACAAAAAGGGCGATGCTTTGGACATACAACAAAAGCATCATTCCATCATCGAGTTGTGTTAAGAAGAGCAAAGGAGAAAAGAGAGTACCAGAATCAGCCCATCATACTCAGGGTTACACTTGACAGCCCATGTCCTGCAAAATTGGACAGAAACATACACGACACAATGAAGACTCGAGCACAAAAAAAAATCAAAAATGAAAACGGAAGCAAACATACCAGTGTGTATGACCAGGAAGCTCTTGGACAGGAGCCTTAGCCTTCCGGAGATCCCATACATGTATGCCAGATTCATCCTCTGCAGTTATCTACATAATCCAATATTTAATCCATCACAACAAAGATATGATAAATTTACACAGGATCCAAAGGCTGAGTCCCACATTCCTTTCTACATAAACCATTCATTCCATTTAAAAGAGTATTGTATAGTGCTTCGGAGGTAGTTAAGAGGACAAGAGGAAAGTCTTACAAGTATATGTTCTCTCTTGGGATTGTAATCAACACCTCGTACATGAGCACGTTCAATTGAATTAACCTTCCTGTGTTGCGCAAACAACATGGGAAACCTCAACATATATATACATGGGTTCATAAAACCTCCTAAGTTAATGTTCACTGGAACAGAGGAGACCAACAGCGATACCATACTTCATAGTACGCAGGTCCCAGAACTGGACAGATGATTCACCAGTTGCTGCCACAGCATTTACATCATGTGGATTCCATGCTCCACCAGATAAAGAATGCAACATCCCAGCCGAATCCTTTGATAGAACCTATATAAAAGCTAAAACTGTTAAAACAAATGCCTTGCAAAAGATCTAAATACACAAGAGGCAAAAGCACCCAATATCCTCGTAGCTAAATCACCTCAGTAGACTTTTTCGAACAGTCCAAGCTCCACAAGAAAATATTTTGCTCATCTATGCTGACTAACTTGTCACATCTTCCAGAAGGCCACCAAAGAACACTGTTTGCACAAGAAAGATAGAGACGGAGAGTCAGCTTCGTAAGGTGTGGATAAAAGAAGAAATAAGTTCTAAAACTTCTGCACCACCATAGCAGCAAAAGACTCTGCTGAAACGATAAATTATCAACTCACCAGTTAATCTTATCAACATGTGCATCAAGAGATGCAATACGCTCCAATTGCGGAGAATTCAGTTGACCATATAATTCAGGAATTTGCCATATAGCTGCTCCAAATGATTCACCTTAACCGAAAAAAAAAGCATTATGAGTTTTTTTTTTGACACATTCAAGCTTTAAGCCAATACAACTCTCAATCCGAGAAGTTAAAATAAATAAAAAATCCAGAACTCCAATTTCTTGCAATTGATCAAGATATGCGAATATTTACCAGTGGAAAAGACAGTGGAGAAAATACGTTGATCGAAAGGGCAAGAAGCAAGGTCCCATATCTCATTAGGATGAGAGAACAAACCCTCGCATATCAGCTCAGATCCACCAGATGACAGACGAAGAAGATGAACCTTCAAAGTATCTCAAATGTTTGGGGGAAACAAACTTTCAGTATCTTCCTGAATAAATAGAAGACGGCAACGATCAATAGAAAAAAAAAAACATGGATTCACCTCATTTTCTTCCTTCAAACTTAAGGTTCCAGTGAGAAAGCTGGTGTAATCCGTATCGGCTTTCACATCCGATATACATCTAGCCTGAAAACACAACAAAATTTCGTCTTTTGAAGAAGCTAAGGAAGATTAACGAAGATCCGAGAACAGAGAAGATGATGAATCACCTGATACTTCAATCCGTATCCAATTCCTGACGATCCTCCTTGCATTGTCGCCTGAGCCGATGAACGGATTTAGCTAGACGACCAGTAGGAACCAGAAAGCCGACCAAATTGATTTTTTTTTTGGTTCGTGCTGCTGATGATACTAATGGGCCTTAACTTAAAATATTAAGGCCTAATTTATAATTAAGAGTGTATAGAAGCCCAATTTCTCATCGTTATGATTTTACAACTACTCCCAGTCACACTGTGACAGTGTCACAGTGTGACTCACACTAAACAGGAAAGGCAGTCTCAAGAAAAGAGAAAAAAAAAAGGAAAGTTTAGTCTTGAACGTTTAATATCTAGAATAATTACAAATAACGAATAATCATACTAGTTCATAACCAAATTTCTTTAAACAGATGAAGACAAAAAGTATCACTAGTGAGGTCACTTAGAGCCTTAAGAGGAGCTTTGAATGGAATCAGCCTGCTCGACAAAAGAAAAAAAAAAGGAATCGAATCAGCCCAGTTAGACTCCTATGAATTGTCTGTCTAGTACTCAGTCATAGTTAGACCGTTATAGCGTTGTTTGATCGACGGGAAAAAAAAGAGCATAAAATCATGAATCCATCATCAGAAAATGCTATCATTACGTTTGTTTTGTGTGTTTGTAAATGGTTTAAATCATTACGTTTGTTTTGTGTGCTTGTAAATGGTTAAAATTATCATTACGTTTGTTACAACGTCTTAGCAAAGCCACAGAGACAAGGCACGTGATGATGATTTCATGAGCTTATGACCGTTAATTAAATATGATTTTTATTTGTATGTGATTATTTTCGAAGCCTTAATTGGATAAAACATAGAAACTAGTAAGGTAGGGAGGAATGTTTGCCGACCCTAAAAACCATTGGTAGTTGATAAGTATTATCAAATGTTGTCCGATAATTGTCTTTTTCATTTAGTTTTGCCGAGATGGGTATTCCATAAATATGGATAAATGTATATTGTTTTTTTTTTTGGGTTAAATGATAAATGTATATTGTTGTATTCAATAGTTGAATATTTATACGCATGGGAATTTCCTGATAGGAAAATAAGAAAGTAGTGATAAGATGACAAAATTTGAGGAGGTGGATCTCCACCATCCCCAGAAAAGAAACATTCCTCTGTTTCACTCAAAAATATAAAGAAATTTTCCTTCTTTCGAGAGATGGGCTCGTTTAGGAAAAACTAAAGATCCCTCGTGTACGTTTTCGCTTTTTTGTTTTGTCCTATCTTCTCATCAAAAGCTTCAAACCCACGAAAAAGTTCCAAACTCTCACTCTAAGTCGAAGACGTGCGCACACGCTCGTTCATATCAAACTGATGATACACACACATATATAAATATTCGTTCTTGATCAGGTGGAGAAATAAACCGAGAGCGTTTATCCGAAATTAATTTTCTAGAATCATTTTCGTAAAGGTTTTTTTTCGTTTCTTGTTTGTGATGTGTATATATTAGATGAATGGATAAGGTTAAGAGTAATTGACAAGCATTTCATGGATGATTAGTATTTCATGATTTTGTAGGGTTATATACTTATATTTTAATGTTGCATCAATGTAATTAAGTGTAAAGAACATATCAAGCTGAACAAATTAATTAGGAAGATATTAGAGATTATGTCAAGGCAATCAGTGAGCCAGTGAGCTGTAAAGTACGTATACGTAGGGGTTAATATCTTGACAAAATCTTCATTTTATCTTTGTTAGAAGCCAAAGTCGTGAGTTTTGAGTTCGGACAAAAGAAAGAAATGGATTAAAATATGAGTTTGGCACCTACAACAGGTGCATGTTATTGTGAGGAAGTACTTTTAGAGCATGATTTCACAATAAAATTTTAATAATACTTTGCGTTACTTTGAATCTCTCGAACCTAGCTTGTTTATTTTAACTTTTCACCTTTTTTACGTTAATTTTCCTTATTTTATCTCAAACTTATCACTTTGAATCTCAAACCTTTTGTTTTTCTTTAGCCAAAAAAAAAAAATCACTTTTTTAGCTTTAACTTTTTTGAACCACGTCTTTTTCCACTTTCTATGCTTTAATGATTCTCATAGTTGTTGAATATTGCATGGTTCCATCGCAAAAATCGTTTTAACATTTTGGACCGTGAAAAGGAAAATAAGTAAATGCAATGTTTTATAATCATAGATAGCATAATTATTTTTACTACTTTCCAAATTGAAGTTTGGTTGCATTGCATGTCCCTTCTTCTACAAGGGAAAAACGGCTCTTATATATTAATCATTAATCTTCAATTTATATGTGAAAGTGTCACCCCTATATATATGAGTTTTCCTTTTGAAATTGTAATGCGGTTTAACTATTATAACCAAAATACTTAATTATTTACTGGAACTAGAGACGCCAATGTAGAACAAAAAAATAATTCTGGTGATCTATATTTGAACAATAAATTATAGGAGTTGGGAGAATATTCGAATGTACAATTATTCTTGGTTACTTACACTTACTGTAGTCTGTAGACGTCTTCAATGGTAAAAATATCTGGTTTTTTAGGCTTACTAAATTGATGTAGATTTCAGTTTGGATTTTCCGGTTAAAGAAAAAGACAGTTTGAATTGGTGTGTAGATAGATACTAAAAAAAAAACAATCAATTTTCTTAAAAAAAAAAATATCATAGTGAAATCTTAAAAAGCAACAGAAAGAAAAATGATTATGGTTAAAACCAATGAATTTTAAGGGGAAAAATAATTAAAACCAATAAAAAAATCAGAAAATATAAGTTATTTAGGGGATCCCGCCACAGCATATTGTTTGGCTTAAAACTCAATGCATGTGCTCTCTAATTTTGAAATTCAACTATGGTATTATTGTCTTTAATTATTTACCAGTAGTTAAGCCATTCACAATTGATTACACCTTAAGTACGTAACTGTTGTCGTGATTATATAATCTATGTCCAATCCTAGTTTTTGAAACACACACACTCAAACAACTTCTCCGACGACCGTTATGGGCTGCTCCTGCTCCAAGCTCGACGGTTTGCCGGCCGTCGCTCTATGTCGTGACCGCTGCAACTCACTGGAGGAGACGCTCCGCCGCAGCTACGCCTTAGCCGACGCTCACGCCGCTTATCTGCTCTCTCTTAACACCGTCGGCCCAGCTCTCCGTAGATTCTTCGACCAAGCCGTCGAGTCTCCGCCGGATATTGAATCCGAAGCCGAAGAATCGCCGGATACGTCTTCGCCGGAATCATATTCCTCGCCTCACTCCGTCGTCAGCAGCTCAGATTCCGATTTGCCTCCCAAATTCGACTCGGATTGCGAGGAAGATGGAAACAGAGGTACGGACTGTGCTAAGCTCGAAGCCTTAAATCGCAATCATGACCCGTTCTACTCCCGTAATCACGAATCCGTCACTGTATCTCCGCCGCCTCCGCCGCCGCCCCCGCCTCCGCCGAGCATTTACGCTTGGGATTTTATCAATTTCTTCGAGAGCTACGAGTATCCGTACAATTCGAATCCTAAGGATTTGAAAGATAGAGAGACCATTCGTTGTTTTGATGAAGATACGTTGATGAAGAAGAAGACTCAGAAAAATGCTACTATTCGCCGAAACGAAGGGAAGACTGGAACAGGGGAAGAGAAATGTATCCAAAAAATCTCCGAGAAGAAAAAACTTAAATCGGAGAAAAGCGGAAAGAGTGTTCCGAGGGAATCAAAGGATCAACAAGCTTCGTCCGATTTCTCACAAGTCACAAAGCAATTGGAGAAAATGTTCAAGAAAGCTTCAGGAGCAGGGAATGATGTTTCGAAGATGTTCGACACTTCGAGATTCAGATATTACCAGAAAAACTCAGTTTATCAAGGTAATGTTTGATTTCTTATTGACGTCACTCTCTGTTTGCTTCTGATCATTCTGCTATTTTCGATTTTCAGCTTCTTCAAATGTTCTCTACGTGAAGAAGATGACTCCTTTGCATCCCAAACCAGCGGAAGATTTTGGATCCAATTTAAGTAATCTTTCATCTACTCTGAAGAAACTTTTCATGTGGGAGAAGAAACTGTACCAAGAAGTAAAGGTAAATCAAAAACTATGAATGGTTTAAGACAAAACATTAGTGTTGATTATGTGTTCTTAGATTCTTGAACGTGTTTATAGGCAGAGGAGAAGCTCCGTACATCTCACACGAAGTACTTCAAACAATTGAGGAGATTGGAACAGAATAGTACAGATCCAAGCAAAATCGAAGCCATTCGTTCTTCGATTCAGTGTCTGTCTACGAGAATAAGAGTCTCTATCCATAAGATAGACAGCATATGTCTGATGATAAACAAGTTACGCGACGAAGAACTCTGGTCACAGATGAAAGAACTGATCCACAGGTACTAATTAAGGAACTACCATTACTATAAGTTTTAAGATTTTGTTTAAGAAATCTCTTGAGTTATCTTAGCTTGTTGTGTCGTAATTAATATAGGTTGTTTAAGATGTGGAGCTGTATGCTGGAGTGTCATAGTAGACAATCCCGAGTAATCGCAGAGGCTAAGAAGCTTGATAAGATGACACTAAAAGAAAATCTAGACATATCCCAGCTTGAGCTTGCCATAGAAATGAAACTGGAGTTGAGAAACTGGAGCCAAAGCCTTTCGAACTGGATAGATGCTAAGGCTCAGTACGTTAAGGCCTTGAACAGTTGGCTAATGAGATGTCTGAAGCAAGAACCTCAAGAACCAACGCCAGATCTCTCTGAAGAGCCACCAGTGTTTGGTGCTATCAACAGCTTGTCACAAACCCTTGATGGATCAGATGTAGAGGAGGAGTTTACAGATGCGGTTTACGCTGTCGTGATGCACGTAAACCATCAAGTTGAAAAACAGAGGATGGAATTGGAGGAGCAGAGGAATGTTAATGGCGGTGGTAAGGATAGAGAAAGGAAACTTGTGATGTTAGAGAAGGAAGAGCAGAAGATGCAGAGGAAGATGAAGACAGTGCCATCTGTTGACGTAATAGGGAGTTTTAATCTGAAGTCGAACATGGAACAGATTTTCAAATCTATGGAGAAATTAGCTACAAACTCGAAGCAGACTTATGAGGGACTTGACTTGATATGCACGTAATGTACCGTTTTGTTTTTTAGTTCTTATAATTACTTCTATCTATTTTTCTTTCGTGTTCTTTCAAGAATTTTATCAAGTTTGGGGAAATGTTACAATAAGATTTTTAGCATACAGGACGAAAAATATTTGCACGTACGTATGTATTTAATATTATAGGTGTCCCAGGTGATTTTTAATTTAAAACTTACTCTGCTGAATTTTTTCTCTCGTTCTACCAATAAAGCTGTGAACATCTCAGATATAAATTTCAATTAAAAAATGATATATATATATATAGATATATATATATATATTCTTTCTGGTTTTGATTCCTTACAATTCAGATGATTACAAATTAACACTGGCTGGCTTGGTTCATGTATGATTTCTGACAAAGCTGCTCGTTTATAATGTAAATCAGAAGTTGCAATTCTGTTTTGTTTTGTTGTGTAGACAACAGTATCTGAGCAAATCCACAATGTTGCCAAATACATACACGGAAGGTTCCTTAATACCTCTAACTTCAACTAGTTTGAAATTATAACCTAAATGACCTGTTTCCTCTACATATGTCTTCACGTCCGTACAAAAATAAACAAGAAAAAACACCTCAGGGTTGGTTCCTTCATCGTACTTTCCTCATCATTCTCAGATCTATCATTACTCTAATCTATACATTACCTATATATGGAGTCTCCCTATATACAAGTTCACTAAATCTTAATCACAAACCAATCTAAATTTCTCATTAAAAATCATTATTTTCCTTTGAATTTCTTCACTTTTTCTTCTGAATCAAGGAAAAACCCTTTCGAGGTCTCAATTGAATGGCACAAATGGACTTGGAAGGCTTGAGAGAACTACAAGACTGCGCAAACTATCTTCTCGATCACTGTCCAGAAGCAAGAGAGTCTCTGTGTCAACAAGGGAAAGAGAAATGGATTGAGCAAGTGTCTGAAGCTTCAGTAACAATGTTAGACGTTTGCAATGTGTCCAAGGATGTGATGGCACTGGTGAGACATAGCCTGCAAGAACTTCAACTAACACTACGCTGCAATGAATCAAACATCAATGAGAAGATCGCAGCGTATAATCGGTATAGGAAGAAGCTCAAGAAGGAAACACTCAAGTGCTTAAATAGTCTAAAGGGTATTAAAGGAGGAAGAGGGGCAACGGTGACGCCGAGTATAGAGCAGAACCTTTTGTTTGTCGCAGAGGTTTTGAAAGAAGTGAGAAGAGCCATTATGACTATGGTTGAGTCTCTGTTCTCGCTTGTGTGTATTCCTTGGCTGGAAAGAAGACCGAGCAAAGGTTCATTGTCCTCGATCTTTACTATGCGGTTTTGTTGCTTCGATGATGTGTGGGACGAAATGGCGGTGCAGAGCGCGAGTACAAGGTTGGAAGCAGCACAGATCGCTGTTGAAGAGCTTGAAATCGAATTGGGGTGTATTTTCCGGCGACTGATTCAGACAAGAGTTTCACTTCTTAATATTCTTACAGCTAAGATGTCTCCTGTTTGATACCGCTTTTGGCCGACATAAACTACGTGTACCTGTAAAAATTAGAATTGTGAACATAAATCAATTAAAAAAAGTCACACACACATATTACAAGTCATTTTTTCAAGTTCTATAAGTTGTCAAGTATAAAATGGCGCTAAGTATTTGTTTTGAGAAACCAACAGATAACATGGCGTTAAGTAAATTTCTTTCTTCCATGCAACAGTATTTCATTTTCAAGTGACCGAAATATTCAACTCCGCTCGGTGATAATCTTTTTTTTTTTACAGTCTTAAGTTTGAAAAGCTAAACTAAAACCTAACTTCAGAAAGATCAACCAAAACAGATGCTTAAATGTAAGAAAGAAAGATTAATCAAGTGAAGCTAGCTTATCTTCGTCAACATCAAAAGCTTTACGAACTTGTCTCAGCTTATCAAGCTTAGTCACATATCCAAAGTAGAAGAAATCACCCGGAATCTAGATACGGATTGCTTACAAGCTGATTAACGTAACACTATATGATAAAATCTATAGAGCCAAAGAAATCACCCGGAATCTAGATACGGATTGCTTACAATCTCATTAACGTAACACTATATGATAAGATCTATAGAGCCAATCTGAAATCGGAGAGAGGGAAAGAGATATTTACCGGACCCATACCTTCAATTTAATTTCAGACCAGAAAGCTTCGGCGATGCTTTTCCTCCGGTGACAATTTTATTCAATCGATTCGGATCTTTGTGCGTTTTGGATTCTTTGGGCGTTTTAGATTATTTGGGCTTATCGAAAAACTAAAGCCCAATATAGATTCCATGTAATAAAGTGCTCCACGTCATTGTTAAGCTTATTAAAAACATAATTTTCACGTGGCACCAACAACCGCATAAACAAAGACCAAAGCAATGGTGGTCGGGACGTCGTCGGACGGCAGCTTTACACTTGTTACAAAAGTCAAACTTCTTCTCAGCAACACTTTCTCTTTATAGTCAAACTTACCCGAGAAACAAATCAGTCACACAGAGAATCCAGATAGATTGTGATATATTAACATCGAGAGAGAGAGAGAGAGATAGAGAAATCAGAAATGGCTTCAGTGGATTCTCGAAGTGGTTTCTGCAACTCCAATTCCACATTCTACAGCAAACGGAGACCGATTCCGTTGCCGCCGAATCCGTCGCTCGACGTTACTACTTTCATCTCTTCTCAGGCTCATCGCGGCCGTATCGCCTTCATCGACGCCTCCACCGGTAAGAATCTCACCTTCTCCGAGCTATGGCGTGCCGTCGAATCCGTCGGCGATTGTCTCTCCGAGATGGGGATTCGCAAGGGCCATGTCGTCCTCCTCCTCTCCCCTAATTCCATTTTATTCCCCGTCGTTTGTCTCTCCGTGATGTCACTCGGCGCCGTTATCACCACCACAAACCCTCTCAACACTCCCGGCGAGATCGCCAAACAGATTAACGACTCCAATCCCGTGCTCGCCTTCACCACGTCGCAGCTCCTCCCCAAAATCGTCTCCGCCGCGTCGTCGGGCTCTAAGAAGCTCCCGATCGTGCTCATGGACGAGGAACGAGTTGACTCAGTGGGCGATGTGAGAAGATTGGTGGAGATGATGAAGAAGGTGCCGAGTGGAACCCGAGTTATGGAGCGAGTCGACCAGGATGACACGGCGACTTTGCTTTACTCTTCCGGAACCACCGGGATTAGCAAAGGAGTGATCTCCTCTCACCGTAACCTTATCGCGATGGTACAAACCATCGTGAACCGGTTTGGTTCTGACGACGGATCTCAGGGAGAGCAACGGTTCATCTGCACCGTCCCTATGTTTCACATCTACGGCTTAGCAGCGTTCGCCACTGGTCTACTCGCTTACGGATCGACGATCGTCGTTCTCTCCAAATTCGAGATGCACGAGATGATGTTTTCGATTGGGAAATACCAGGCGACGTATCTTCCTCTCGTGCCGCCGATTCTTGTGGCGATGATCAACGGCGCAGATCAGATCAAGGCCAAGTACGACCTGAGCTCTCTCCACACTGTTTTGTGCGGTGGAGCTCCGTTGAGCAAGGAGGTGACCGAGGGATTCATGGAGAAGTATCCGACGGTCAAGATTTTACAAGGTTATGGTTTGACCGAGTCAACGGGTATAGGAGCCTCCACGGATACTGTTGAGGAAAGCCGGAGATACGGCACCGCAGGGAAATTGTCGGCTAGCATGGAGGGGAGGATCGTGGATTCGGTGACTGGTCAGGTTCTTGGACCGAAACATACCGGTGAGCTCTGGCTCAAGGGTCCGTCCATAATGAAAGGTACTTTAAACTCTCAAGGATTCTGAATTCAGGATTTGAGAATCGTAGTTATGCAGGAACTGCAAGGTGTTTCGGGTGTGTTTTTGTTCTTGTCAGGTTATTTCAGCAATGAGGAAGCTACGAGCTCTACTCTTGATTCTGAAGGATGGTTAAGAACTGGAGATCTCTGCTATATCGATGAAGATGGATTCATATTTGTGGTTGATCGGTTAAAGGAACTGATCAAGTACAAAGGCTACCAGGTAACAAATACAGCACAAAGTCAACCACATTGATTCGATACCAGTGAATCATATCATCTTTTGTTTTAGTAAGGAGTTTCATTCGACTAAATTGCAAGAAACCTGACCTCGTTCCATTGAACCAATATGTTAATTTCTGAGCCTTAATGTTGTGATTGTGTGTGTGATTAGCTGTTTTCAACTCCGGGATGGAGATAGGAGTATACTCAAACATTACCCTTTTTATTTAACAGACCCTTGTGATTTTTCCAGACTATTGATAGAAAGGCATTGATTGAATCATTGGTTCGATCAATGAAATTGTGCTAAACTTCTTATGGTGATCATTGCTCAGGTCCCTCCAGCTGAGCTAGAGGCTTTGTTGCTCACTCATCCTGAAATTGCCGATGCTGCAGTAATACCGTAAGTCCCAAAAACAAGTGCTCATCGCTTCTTTTTTTTACCAAAAACAGTACTCTTTGAGTTTCTAATTTTTTTTGGCGATTAACAGGTTTCCGGACAAAGAAGTTGGGCAATTTCCAATGGCATACGTTGTAAGAAAAACAAAGAGCTTCTTATCAGAGAAGTCGATAATGGAGTTTGTAGCGAAACAAGTAGCACCGTACAAGAGGATACGAAAAGTGGCTTTCGTATCTTCCATACCAAAGAATCCTTCAGGCAAGATTCTGCGCAAGGATCTCATAAAGCTCGCAACTTCCAACTCCAAGCTTTGAATTTGTTACACTACTCTATAACGAGAGTCAATCTCCATGTATTATTAATGTTTGTACTTTGTACTGTAGCAAAAGAAAGCTACCTTCCTGGAAATATGACCCTGAGGCCTCCAACACACAGAAGATTACACATAAAATCATGTGGGCAGCAGTACTGTTCATTTAGATATCGTCAACTTTCAAAATATGTTTATGATCAAGTACTAGATATGGAGTCTACTTTCAAAACTTGATTATGGGATTCTTATACGGTTATACCTCTATAGTAGTATAAAGAATAAAAAACTATAATATACAAGGCTGATGATTTATTTCCAACTTTCATATATTTCATATCTACATAATGTTAAGCTTTTGTTCTAAACCTATTTACACATAAACTGAAAGTTCCAAACCTATGCAGAAATGGTGATATATGATAATGAGAAATATGTCATCAGCCCTGAAGATCTAGTAGAATCTAAGTGAGCATTCAATCTAAGTGTAGTTCTAGTTTATTTATTTTTCAATGTAAAAGAAGTTTCATTGCCGAAGTACATATGTCTAAACCAAAAACGTGAAACTGCCTGTACAAAGTGACAATTAATGAGGTAGATCTTCACATATATGTAGTATAGAACATTGGCTAAATAAACCTGTCTTACAATGTGGCCCTCGTCTAATATTTGAGATGACTCTTGGCGGTATATACGGTCGAGTTGCGAAGATTCGTGATCACCCAATTCACGCATATGGTTTCAACTCTGCGATTTGGCAAGATTTATTCGACTGGCTCGTTGCCCCGGTTAGTTCTTCCTCGGAAGTTTTGTTGATACACACAGGGCCGGATCTGAGAATTTAGGGGCTAAAAAATTCATAAATAACCAAAGAAAAATTTTGGGGGCTATAGGCGGATGTTTCATCAGGCTGTCCCCAGATCCAGCCCTGCATACCTATCAACCTCTCCATCGAAAACCGGTTTGGCAAATCCAGGTTTGCTAATTCAATGACTCTTCAGTTCGTTTTTTTTGTAATTGCATGGATTCCTAAATCAATGAAAATTCTCTAACCAATAAACTCGCTAGACTCCCTAATCAATAAAATCAATGAAAATGTTTTTAGGACGTTTTCAAATGCTTCAGTGATAAATGTATTTTAATTTGTATTATCATGTCTCAACAATCTCAGAGCTTCATTATCCATCAACGGCCGTTTCTGTAAGATCATCATCATCGCTCATCGATTCCCTGGACCTATATTCACATATTGAATTGAGAACCTAACCATTATAAGAAAAAATTATGGAGAATCCGGAAAATAAAGAATGATTTGCTATTTGAATGCGAAAATGGTTCATCGTGGACGTTATTAATAAGAGAAGGAAGCAAACATCCCCTAATGATGAAGTGGCCGAATATCCTCTAAACTTTTAATGATATGATGCCCTTTTGTTGTTTTGTAGACGGACAGTTTATGTGTATCCGTAGAACTAGAACTGCATAGTCCATACTAATAAGCTAGAACAACAAAAATTAAAATAAGACTTCAGTCTTCTGGTCAATTATTGTATTAAAACAAATTAAAAAAATGTGCAAACATACACCAACTCATCAACTACACCTACTAATAAAAAAATAAAATATAAAAGAAAGACTTTCAGTCTTCTGGATATTCCAGAAAATCGTTATTGCATTACATCTACGAATATACAAAGACTTAGAACTTTAGAAGGAATCAATGGAATCGATTCTACGAACATGCACCAACTACACATACTAATTAAATCGTTATTGAATTACGTCTAATAACACGTTATTGATATTTTAAAACCAAAAATTGTATAAAACTGATGTATCATGTGGAATTCATAATGTTATTAGCTTTAATGCACGTAAAAGGAATCTTTTCTACGAATATACACCAACTACAATAATTACTAATCGATACATTTTAAAATATATTTTTCTTGGCAAACAATTTAGAATAGGTTTGTTGTTTTCTTGGCTTCTTGGCTTATATCTATGATGATTTCGCTTGAAGCTTGAAACACATGTTTTTGTAACAAGAACCAACCAAAAACAAAAAATGGATCTGAAGGAGCTTTCGTCCGGCGTAAAAGACGACAAGATCAGCGAAGAAACCAAGAGTTTGATCTCTTCGCTTCCCTCACACACAGATTCCCATGGGCTGAAGATGTGCAAGTATCAAGGATGTTGGTATTACCACAACACTGTCCAAGGCGTTGTTAATTTCCAGAGAGGTTTTCAACCGCAAGACACCGATATAATCCTGGCTTCTAACCCCAAATCAGGTACCACTTGGCTCAAGGCCCTCACAGTGGCCATCCTCGAGAGATCAAGAAACCATTCTTCTTCTAATCATCCTCTACTGTCTGATAATCCTCATGGCATTGTACCATTCTTGGAGTTCGATCTCTATATCGAAAGCTCAAGTCCTGACCTGTCCAAGTACTCATCAGTTCCGAGGGTGTTCTCGACTCACATGCCACTGCACGCGATACACGAGACCCTCAAGGACTCTCCTTGCAAGATTGTGTACGTGGCCAGGAACGTGAAGGACACACTGATCTCGTGGTGGTATTTCAGGTGCGCTGTTCGTAAAATAGAACTAAATAGAAGCATTCTCGAGTCTATGTTCAAATCGTTCTGCGAAGGAACTTTCTTTTATGGACCTTATTGGGAACATCTCTTGAGCTACTGGAGAGGAAGCCTGGAAGACCCCAAGAAGATTCTTTTTATGAAGTATGAGGAGATGAAAGCGGAGCCACGTGCTCAGATCAAGAGACTCGCGGATTTCTTGGGTTATCCTTTTACTAAGGAAGAAGAGGAGAATGGATGTGTGGACGAGGTCTTGAACCTTTGCTCTCTGCGTAATTTGAGCGGTTTGGAGGTAAACAAAACCGGGAAAGTAAACAACATGGAGCACAAGGACTTTTACCGGAAAGGAGAAGTCGGTGACTGGAAGAATTATCTAACTCCTGAAATGGAGAACCAGATTGACATGATCATTCAAGAGAAGCTCCAAGGCTCTGGTTTGAAATTCTAGAGCTACGTACGTACGTGTATGGTTTATGTTTTTCTTTTATGTTGCAAAAATAAGAGTACCTTCCTTTGTTATATCCTTTTAAAAATTTCCTCTTCTTTTCCAAAATGTATTTCAGTTGTTGCTTGGATGTGTTCTAATTAAGGGTTTGTTTAATAAGAGCCAATTAGGTGTGTTATCCGCCCTCATGTGAAGATTAAAACTGGATCTCGATGATTCCTGTAATACATTTAATTGATGCTTTGAAAGTTGGTCTCGCGAAGTCAATATAATATAATCTCGTTAATTTTAAAATGCACTTTTAAATTATTTCAAATATCTAATCGACTACTAATTTTTTATCACAACAAACTAAGACCATCTCTAACAAGGGTCTTTGGCCCAGTTTTTTAGGAGGAAAAGAGTAAAAAAAAAATTAATTGTTTTTTTAAAGAATGACCCTTATATTAGAGATTTTAGGATAGCTCTCCTTATGCAAAGTGGAATATCATGGTTGGCTGAACTCTAAAGACAATCTCTCTCCTCTAATTAAAGTGTTAAATTTTCTTTTTTCACTTTTTTTTAATTTTTATCATATATAATATTCTTAAAGAATTTTTAGTAAACCTCTCTATTGGAGGTGCTCTAAGTAGTAAATTAGTAATGAATGCTGCATATGGTTTGGATTTAGTGTGAGTAATTGAATATTTGTATGTATTATATACGATTTCAAAATGTTAGATAGCTATTGATTATTTAGGACATCTCTAAAGGCAACTTAAGTTGGTGATGTTTGTTTCCAAAGAAAAATCCTCAAATCTATTCTTACAAAACTTAATATATTGCACTATAGTTTTTACTTTTAATCATTATTAATAAAAATTATATAACTTTATAAATAAAAAAATAATATACACTAAAAAATATCATTAACTAAAATTATGTTAGAAATTTTACAATAAAATAAAACATTACATTATAAGATAAAATTACATAAACATAATAATTAAATACACAAACTAAATTATAAATTATTACATTACACTAAATTATTCAACAAAATTATTTCCATAATTGTTCCCAAATATGATCAATTAATGCATATATATGTACTTATGTAGTATAGAACATTGGCTAAATAAACCTGTCTTACAATTTTGCCCTCGTCTAAAATTTGAGATGACTCTGGCGGTATATACGGTCGAGTTGCGAAGATTCGCGATCACCCAATTCACGCATATGGTTTCAACTCTGCGGTTTGGCAAGATTTATTCGACTGGCTCGTTGCCCCGGCTAGTTCTTCCTCGGAAGTTCTGTTCATACACATCAACCTCTCCATCGAAAACCGGTTTGGCAAATCCAGGTTTGCTAATTCAATGACTCTTCAGTTCGTTTTTTTTTTATTGCTTGGATTTCTAAAATCAATGAAAACTCTCTAACCAATAAACTCGCTAATCAATGAAAATGTTTTTAGGACGTTTTCAAATGCTTCAGTGATAAATGTATTTTAATTTGTATTATCATGTCTCAACAATCTCAGAGCTTCATTATCCATCAACGGCCGTTTCTGTAAGATCATCATCATCGCTCATCGATTCTAGAAACGGTTTCTGCAACGCAAATTCAACGTTCTACAGCAAACGAAACCCATTGCCACTTCCTGCGAACACGTCGCTCGACATCACCACTTTCATCTCCTCTCAACCTCACCATGGCACCACCGCCTTCATCGACGCCGCAACAGGCCACCGTATAAGCTTCTCCCATTTCTGGAGAGCCGTCGATCGCGTCGCCGACTGTCTCTATCACGACATCGGAATACGGAGAGGCGACGTCGTACTCATCCTCTCTCCCAACTCCATCTCCATCCCGGTCGTCTGTTTCGCCGTCATGTCACTCGGCGCCGTCGTCACCACCGCGAATCCTCTCAACACCGCCGGGGAAATCTCCAGACAGATCGCAGACAGCAATCCAAAGCTCGCCTTCACAACTCCAGATCTGGCTCCTAAACTCGCCGCCTCCGCCGCTCTCTCCGTTGTCCTCACGGAGGATCGCACGGGATCGTCAGATCTCGGAGTATGTGTCGTTGGGAAGTTGAACGAGATGATGGAAAAGGAACCGAGTCAGAAGCGAGTCAGAGACCGAGTTGATCAAGAAGAAACAGCGATGCTTCTCTACTCGTCGGGAACAACGGGACGAAGCAAAGGAGTGATATCGTCTCACAGGAACTTGATCGCGCACATGGCGAGATACATCGCGGAGCCATTGGAGCCGAATCAGACCTTCCTCTGCACAGTTCCGATGTTCCACACCTTCGGATTACTGAACTACGCCATGGCCACCGTAGCTTTGGGCTCAACGGTGGTGATTCTCCGGAAGTTCGATCTGCACGAGATGATGGCGGCGGTGGAGAAGTACAGAGCCACGACTCTGGTTTTGGTGCCGCCGATTTTGGTTGCTATGATCAACGGCTCAGATTTGATCAAGGCAAAGTACGATTTGACCTCACTCAAAGCGGTTAGATCCGGTGGGGCCCCATTGAGCAAGGAAGTTACGGAGAGTTTTTTAGAAAAATATCCAACGGTTGATATTTTTCAAGGGTACGCTTTGACGGAATCGAACAGCTCAGGAGCTTCGACAGATTCGGTGGAGGAAAGTCAGAGACACGGTACGGTGGGGTTGTTGTCGTCCGGTGTAGAAGCGCGGATAATGGATCCGGATACGGGTCGGGTCATGGGTGTGAACCATATGGGCGAGCTCTGGCTCAAAGGTCCCGCCATTACAAAAGGTAAAGATAGAACGCGGGTACGATACATTACCGTGGCAACCAAGTAATTCAAATCAGAGGTTTTTGATTAATCAGTTTTATACAATATCTTTTTTTTTTTAAAAGGTTATTTTAGTAACGAAGAAGCTACAAACGAAACAATTAATTCAGAAGGATGGTTTAAAACTGGAGATCTCTGCTACATCGACGATGATGGATTTCTTTTTATAGTGGATCGATTGAAAGAGCTAATCAAATACAAAGCTTACCAGGTTAGGAAATACTCTTTTTGTTTATTTCATTTGGATAAACTCGGTTACTGATTGTTTATTAGAACGTACATTACTCTCTTATCCAACATCCTCTTCAGATTTCTAGACCTAAAAGCAGTTAATCATTATTAATGGATAAAAATTTTTAATCTTATTTTTGAAGGTCCCTCCAGCTGAACTAGAAGCTTTGTTGTTCACTCATCCGGAAATCGTTGATGCTGCAGTAATCCCGTAAGTCACAACAACACTGAGATCGCTTTTGTACAAGAAACAGTCTTTGAGTTTTTTTGTTTTTTATATGTTTTGGCGATTTACAGATTTCCGGACAAAGAAGTAGGGGAATTTCCGATGGCGTACGTTGTAAGAAATACAGGAAGCTTCTTATCAGAGAAGTCAGTGATGGAGTTTGTAGCAACACAAGTAGCACCATACAAGAAGATACGAAAAGTGGCTTTCGTATCTTCCATACCAAAGAATCCTTCAGGCAAGATTCTGCGCAAGGATCTCATAAAGCTCGCAACTTCCAACTCCAAGCTTTAATATTGTTACAACTTAGAAGACTTCAATAAAAGCCGGTCTCATTGTCTAGTTATCAGATCTACCACCTTTGTTGGATAACGACAAAGTAAATAAATATTTTCCATTCATATGGAGGATATACCACAAAATTTTAGTTACTCACATCCAATCCTATAATTGTATTACCCAATCTATATGTTTATATGTATGTATTTTTGTGATGTTAGATATCGGAATAATCCATACTGAAGTTTTACATATGTTATAAAGCTGGCAACTTCCAACTCCAAGCTTTGAATTTGTTACACTACGTACTTTATAATCAGAGCCAATCTGATGAAGAAAAAAAAAAAAATTCAGAGCCAATCAATCCATGTACTGTATTATTAATATTTGTAATATAGCTAAAAGGTTACATTCGTGGAAATATGACCTTGAGGCCTCGAACATACAGTAGGTTACACATAAAATAACTTTGGCTCGTTGCCCCGGCTAGTTCTTCCTCGTGGTTATCACTTTATCGGGTTTTCAGCTAAATCCTCGGAAGTCTGTTCATACACATCAACCGCTCTATCGAAAACCGGTTTGGCAATTCCAGGTTTGCTAATTCAGTGACTTTATAATTCAGATCGTTTTTTATTGCTTGGATTCTAAATAAATTAAAACTCACTAACCAATAAACTCGCTAGAACTAAAAATGTTTATAGGTCGCTTTCAAATGCTTCAATGACTATATATACAAGTTAGATAGACTTATACCAAAAAAATAAAAAAATTGGTGATAACATGTCGTACGAACAGATAAAACTTGGAATGTAAACTTGTAAAACTTGTTTATGGCTAAATATTAAAATCATGGTCAAAATTAATTTATTCCTAAAGCTTGGATCCTGTACAACACCTTTTTTTTAGTTCGATACAACACCTAATTTGTTATACCATTTACAGATATCATAAACCTATGATTTAACATATACCTGATTGATTGTCGGGTAAATGGGTTGATATGTTCAAGCAGATTCACGTTTCTTAGCATGAAAACATGACTAAACTGGAACTACACTTAGATCAACTAGGTCTCTTTATATCTTCGTGTATAACACTATCTTCCCGTTTTTATTTAAACAGTCGATATTGTTAAGAGCCTTTTCAACAAGAGTATTTCAATGAGTATCTTATATTTTTTTTTTTTTAAATGCCAAAAATCACTAATGGAAACAAAAATTTGTGATGTATTCTCAAAATAAAATTTTCTTAAAATACTAATGAGATAGTCTATTTAGAAATACTCTATAGGATGTTTCAGAAATACTCTAAACAAGAGACGCTGAGCTGTAAAAGTTCATGGCACTTGTCAACTTTGTTTCCATAGTATAAATACTTTTAGCAAACCTCAGAGTTGTGCATCCATCTAAACTATAAAGATGATATATAATCCCACCTGAAAAAGAAAATGACGAATTCCCAAAAATTATCATCGCTCATCGATTCTAGAAACGGTTTCTGCAATGCAAACTCGACGTTTTACAGTAAACGAAACCCATTGCCACTACCGGCGAACACGTCACTCGACATCACCACTTTCATCTCCTCTCAACCTCACCGTGGCACCACCGCCTTCATCGACGCCGCCACGGGCCACCGCATAAGCTTCTCCGATCTCTGGAGAGCCGTAAATCGCGTCGCAGACTGTCTCCACCACGACGTCGGAATACGGAGAGGCGACGTCGTACTCATCCTCTCTCCCAACTCCATCTCCATCCCCGTCGTCTGCCTCGCCGTCATGTCACTCGGCGCCGTCGTCACAACCTCGAATCCTCTCAACACCGCCGGTGAGATCTCCAGACAGATTTCAGATAGCAACCCGAAGCTCGCCTTCACGACGCCTGAGCTGGCTCCGAAAGTACTCGCCGGAATCCCAATCGTCCTCCTCGAGCGAGTTGGAGCCACTCGCGGAGTCAGAGTCGTCGGAGTTTTGAGCGAGATGATGAAGAAGGAACCGAGTGGGGAACGAGTCAGAGACCGAGTTAGCCAAGACGACACGGCGATGCTTCTCTACTCGTCGGGGACGACAGGACGGAGCAAAGGGGTGAATTCGTCTCACGGGAACTTAATCGCACACGTGGCGAGATACATCGCCGAGCCAACAACGGAGACAAATGAGATCTTTCTCTGCACCGTTCCTATGTTCCATACCTTCGGATTGTTGAACTTCGTTATAGCTTCTGTAGCGTTGGGATCGACGGTTGTGATTCTCCGGAAGTTTGAGCTTGAAGAGATGATGGCGGCGGTGGAGAAATACAGAGCAACGGTTCTGATTTTGGTGCCGCCGGTTTTGGTGGCTATGATCAACGGCTCAGATTTGATCAAGAGGAAGTTTGATCTGAGCTCCCTGAGAACGGTTAGATGCGGTGGAGCGCCGTTGAGCAAGGAGGTTACGGAAGGGTTTTTAGAGAAATATCCAACGGTCGATATTTTTCAAGGATACGCTTTGACTGAATCGAACGGCGCAGGAGCTTCGATTGATTCGGTGGAGGAGAGCCGGAGATTCGGTGCGGTGGGGCTATTGTCGTCCGGTGTGGAAGCTAGGATAGTGGATCGGAATACGGGTCGGGTCATGGGTGTGAATCAAACTGGCGAGCTTTGGCTCAAAGGGCCTTCTATTGCCAAAGGTAAAATATATAGTTGGCGCCAACATATTCAAATATATAAATTATTAAAAGCAGTTGTTGTTTACGATGTATATAATTGTTTGAATAAAAAAGGTTATTATGGGAATGAAGAAGCTACAAAAGCAACATTTGATTCGGAAGGATGGCTTAAAACCGGAGATCTTTGCTATATCGACGATGATGGATTTGTTTTTATTGTGGATCGATTGAAAGAGCTCATTAAGTACAAAGGTTATCAGGTAATTAGCAAAATCTTACTTATGTGTCATTTAGATAAACTTGTTTATATTGATTGACCAAAAAAAAAAATGCATGCAAAATCTTAACGTACGGGCTTTTAATTGTAAAATAGGTACCTCCAGCTGAATTAGAGGCTCTTCTACTGAATCATCCAGATATTCTCGATGCAGCCGTTATTCCGTAAAATCGCTCCTATTTATTTTTAATTTATTTTCTGTTTAGTTCTTAGAACATCAAAATAACCATATCTACTTTGCTCTTCTTTTTTCTTATGTATTGTAAAGGTTTCCAGACAAAGAAGTAGGACAATGTCCAATGGCTTACGTGGCACGCAAGCCTGAGAGCGATCTGTCTGAGAAGCAAGTTATCGACTTCATCTCAAAACAGGTTCTTCTATAATCACAAACATAGCTCACTTTCATAACATAATTATTTTCATTTTATTATTTTGGATGACCAAAATTGATGTAATGAAACAGGTGGCACCGTATAAAAAAATAAGAAAGGTCGCATTTATAGACTCCATACCAAAGACTGCATCCGGCAAAACACTTCGCAAGGATCTAATCAACATGGCTACTTCTAAGCTTTAGAAAAATCGCTATATTTTCTCACTTTTAATTCGTATGCTTTTTTCGACAAGAGACAAGTTGTAATGAATAATTTTTGGATGTTGTATCTGGAATTTGATTACAAATTAACATTTGATACGAAACATGTAATATCGCTAGATACAACCCGCTAATAAACGATGGTATCGCTAGTTGATATCAAAATGTTAATGAGCTTTTCGGTAGAAATGATATATCGTCATAACTGGAACAGCTAGTACACTGAATGCATGAACTATTTTACTCCATACTGACATGTAATGATTTATTGAGTTGGCTTAGTCTCGGACTTATATCTGGTTTAATGTATGTGAATAATACATTTCTGTTTTAGTCTTTGGTTTAGGGAACTGTATATTGTATTACTCTTGTACCAAAGATCATATTTGATCAGTGAGAAAATAACAGAAAAATGTTTTGATTTGCTTCGAATTATTACTGATAATGTATAATGCATAATATATCCTATTTTGTTATCTACCGTCAAAGCTAATTACTTATCACCGGACATTTTTGGTTTTGCAAACCAAACTCAAACCCCATCGCTCTCCTACCAAACACGTTTTTCTATTGCTGGTCAAATAGCCAACACGAGAATCACATCTTTGATCCGCAGCAATCATTACGGGAAATAATAGCTATCAGGATGATAGTGGACTCGTTACCTGTAAAGTACTCCTCCGTTTGCTCTTTAGTAGTAGTAGAGATAGCGTTATCAGAATGGCACATAGAGAAATGGCGGGTCCTCCTCAGAGCTGTCTCGTCGATTCCAGAAGCGGTTTCTGCCGATCAAACTCCACATTCTACAGTAAACGCACTCCACTCACTCTCCCGGCGAATCCTTCCCTCGACGTCACGACTTTCATCTCCTCTCAGCCTCACCGCGGCACCACCGCCTTCATCGACGCCGCCACTGGCCACCGTTTAAGCTTCTCCGATCTCTGGAGAGCCGTCGATCGTGTCGCCGACTATCTCCACCATGAAATCGGAATTCGCAAAGGCGACGTCGTCCTCATCCTCTCTCCCAACTCAATCCACGTTCCCGTCGTCTGCCTCTCCGTCATGTCTCTCGGCGCCGTGCTCACCACCGCGAACACTCTCAACACCGTCGGCGAGATCTCCAAACAGATCTCCGATAGCAACCCGAAGCTCGCCTTCACGACTCCCGATCTGGCTCCCAAACTCGCCGATTCCGCAATCCCACTCGTCCTCGAGCGCGTCGGACCCACTCGCGGAGTCAAGGTCGTGGGGATTTTGAGCGAGATGATGAAGAAGGAACCGAGTGGGAAACGAGTGAGAGAACGAGTCAACCAGGACGACACGGCGGTGATGCTTTACTCGTCGGGGACCACAGGTCCAAGCAAAGGCGTGATCTCGTCTCACGGGAATTTAACGGCTCAGATGGCGAGATTCGTCTCGGATAAATGGAAAGAGGAGGAGATCTTCCTCTGCACCGTTCCCATGTTCCACACCTTTGGATTAATTTGCTTCGCGATGGGCACCGTAGCACTGGGCACGACGGTGGTGATCCTCCGGAGATTCGAGCTACACGACATGATGGCGGCGGTGGAGAAGTACAGAGCCACGATTCTGGCTTTGGCGCCGCCGGTTGTGGTAGCTATGATTAACGGAGCAGATCTGATCAAGGCAAAGTACGATCTGAGCTCCCTGAGAATGGTTAGGTGCGGTGGAGCGCCGTTGAGCAAGGAGGTGACGGAGGGGTTCTTAGAGAAATATCCGACGGTTGATATATTTGCAGGGTACGCGTTGACGGAATCGAACGGCGCAGGAGCTTCGATTGAGTCGGTGGAGGAGAGCCGGAGATACGGTGCGGCGGGGCTGTTGTCGTCCGGTGTGGAAGCGAGGATTGTGGATCCGGAGACGGGTCGGGTCATGGGTGCGAATCAAACGGGAGAGCTCTGGCTCAAAGGGCCTTCTATTGCCAAAGGTAAAACATTACACTAACTAACAAGATTCAACAAGATTTTGATTATTAACATGTACATTGTATTTAATTTATTGATTTTAGGTAGTAATGAATTTAGTACAGTATATGGGTTATGTGATTAGTTTAATGTTTTTTGTATCGCGTATGGTTTCAACATGTTAGGTAGTGGTAGTGGTAGTGTTAGCATATGGTTTTTGTATGTAAAATGTTATTATAAAATGTGGAACAATACACAAACAAAAGTTATTATTTGAGAGCTTATATATCTATTTATTATTTTGCTTATAAGGTTACTTTAGAAATAAAGAAGCTACAGATGAAACCATTAATTCGGAAGGATGGCTAAAAACTGGAGATCTATGTTATATCGACGACGATGGGTTTCTTTTTGTTGTGGATCGACTCAAAGAACTAATCAAATACAAAGGCTACCAGGTTAAATATACTTATCTTTTGTTATGGATCCAAATCCAATATCAGTGGTGTATTTTGAAAGCAAAGGATCTAATAAAATGGTTTGGATTTTGACAAACAGGTGCCTCCAGCTGAACTAGAGGCACTCTTGATGACTCATCCAGACATTCTCGATGCCGCCGTTATTCCGTAAACTCGAAATTATAACTTTTTCCCTTATACCCCTCAATTAAAACGCCATTAATGTATAAAAACATGAGAGCATATTGTAGTCTTCTTATATTCTTTCTCTGGTTTTGTGTATCGCAAAGGTTTCCAGATAAAGAAGCAGGACAATATCCGATGGCTTACGTGGCACGGAAGCTTGAGAGCAATCTCTCTGAGAAACAAGTTATTGACTTCATCTCTAAACAGGTGCTACTAACATCACAAAACAACACCAAATTCTTTTTCTTATTATCTCTACTATTTTTAGTTATTTCTTGGGTTGTAAATATCATTTTTACGTTAAAAATCTGTTAATTTTGATGAGCAGGTGGCACCGTATAAAAAGATAAGAAAAGTCGCTTTTATAAACTCCATACCAAAGTCTGTATCCGGAAAGACACTTCGTAAGGATCTAATCAAACTAGCCACTTCTAAACTCTGAGATGTTCTATTTGCTAGATTCTCACTTTCGCATATGGTATTGTTTTTTTTTTCTTTCAATAAGAGGAAGATGTAATAATACACATATGTATGTATATATAACTGTAATTGAAAATGAGACTTTCTCCAACTCTTTTATACTATCAAAACATTGCATCTTTTTATTGGGATGACAAAAGTCTAGCAAAGTACTCCCTGGACCTATATTCACATATTGAATTGAGAACCTAACCATTATAAGAAAAAATTATGGAGAATCCGGAAAATAAAGAATGATTTGCTATTTGAATGCGAAAATGGTTCATCGTGGATGTTCTTAATAAGAGAAGGAAGCAAACATCCCCTAATGATGAAGTGGCCGAATATCCTCTAAACTTTTAATGATATGATGCCCTTTTGTTGTTTTGTAGACGGACAGTTTATGTATATCCGTAGAACTAGAACTGCATAGTCCATACTAATAAGCTAGAACAACAAAAATTAAAATAAGACTTCAGTCTTCTGGTCAATTATTGTATTAAAACAAATTAAAAAAATGTGCAAACATACACCAACTCATCAACTACACCAACTAATAAAAAAATAAAATATAAAAGAAAGACTTTCAGTCTTCTGGATATTCCAGAAAATCGTTATTGCATTACATCTACGAATATACAAAGACTTAGAACTTTAGAAGGAATCAATGGAATCGATTCTACGAACATGCACCAACTACACATACTAATTAAATCGTTATTGAATTACGTCTAATAACACGTTATTGATATTTTAAAACCAAAAATTGTATAAAACTGATGTATCATGTGGAATTCATAATGTTATTAGCTTTAATGCACGTAAAAGGAATCTTTTCTACGAATATACACCAACTACACTTACTAATCGATACATTTTAAAATATATTTTTCTTGGCAAACAATTTAGAATAGGTTTGTTGTTTTCTTGGCTTCTTGGCTTATATCTATGATGATTTCGCTTGAAGCTTGAACACATCTTTCTGTAACAAGAACCAGCAAAAAAAAAAATGGATCTGAAGGAGCTTTCGTCCGGCGTAAAAGACGACAAGATCAGCGAAGAAACCAAGAGTTTGATCTCTTCGCTTCCCTCACACACAGATTCCCATGGGCTGAAGATGTGTAAGTATCAAGGATGTTGGTATTACCACAACACTGTCCAAGGCGTTGTTAATTTCCAGAGAGGTTTTCAACCGCAAGACACCGATATAATCCTGGCTTCTAACCCCAAATCAGGTACCACTTGGCTCAAGGCCCTCACAGTGGCCATCCTCGAGAGATCAAGAAACCATTCTTCTTCTAATCATCCTCTACTGTCTGATAATCCTCATGGCATTGTACCATTCTTGGAGTTCGATCTCTATATCGAAAGCTCAAGTCCTGACCTGTCCAAGTACTCATCAGTTCCGAGGGTGTTCTCGACTCACATGCCACTGCACGCGATACACGAGACCCTCAAGGACTCTCCTTGCAAGATTGTGTACGTGGCCAGGAACGTGAAGGACACACTGATCTCGTGGTGGTATTTCAGGTGCGCTGTTCGTAAAATAGAACTAAATAGAAGCATTCTCGAGTCTATGTTCAAATCGTTCTGCGAAGGAACTTTCTTTTATGGACCTTATTGGGAACATCTCTTGAGCTACTGGAGAGGAAGCCTGGAAGACCCCAAGAAGATTCTTTTTATGAAGTATGAGGAGATGAAAGCGGAGCCACGTGCTCAGATCAAGAGACTCGCGGATTTCTTGGGTTATCCTTTTACTAAGGAAGAAGAGGAGAATGGATGTGTGGACGAGGTCTTGAACCTTTGCTCTCTGCGTAATCTGAGCGGTTTGGAGGTCAACAAAACCGGGAAAGTAAACAACATGGAGCACAAGGACTTTTACCGGAAAGGAGAAGTCGGTGACTGGAAGAATTATCTAACTCCTGAAATGGAGAACCAGATTGACATGATCATCCAAGAGAAGCTCCAAGGCTCTGGTTTGAAATTCTAGAGTTACGTCCGTATATGATGGTTTCTGTTTTCTTTTATGTTGCAAAAAATAAGAGTACCTTCCTTTGTTATATCCTTTTAAAAATGTCCTTTCCAAAATGTATTTCAGTTGTTGCTTTCATGTGTTTTAATTAATTGTCAATTAATAACCAATAATTGTCCCTCTAAGGCTCTAACCCTAATACATTTAATTAATCCTCTAAAAGTTGGTCTCGCGTAGTCAAATATAACAATCTCGTTCATTTCGTTCATACAGCGCCTAAGGAAAAAAAATGGCGATGCCTCAGAGATATGTCACTGATCCGAGAAGCGGTTTCTGCAGAGCAAACTCCACATTCTTCACTAAACGCAACCCCTTGAATCTCCCGGCGAATCCTTCGCTCGACGTCACAACTTTCATCTCCTCTCAACCCCACCGTGGCACCACCGCCTTCATCGACGCCGCCACTGGCCACCGTTTAAGCTTCTCCGATCTCTGGAGAGCCGTCGATCGTGTCGCCGACTGTCTCCACCATGAAATCGGAATTCGTAGAGGAGACGTCGTACTCATCCTCTCTCCGAACTCCGTGTACATTCCCGTCGTCTACCTCTCCGTCTTGTCTCTCGGCGCCGTCGTCACCACCGCGAACACTCTCAACACCGCCGGTGAGATATCCAGACAGATCTCCGACAGCAACCCGACGCTCGCGTTCACGACGCGCCAGCTCGCACCCAAACTCCCCGCCGGTATCTCCGTCGTCCTCACCGACGACGTGGAGGAGCGCACTCGTGGAGTCGATGTCGTGGGGATTTTGAGCGAGATGATGAAGAAGGAACCGAGTGGGAAACGAGTCAGAGACCGAGTCAACCAGGAAGACACGGCGGCGATGCTTTACTCGTCGGGGACCACAGGACAAAGCAAAGGCGTGATCTCGTCTCACGGGAATTTGATTGCTTACGTGGCGAGAAAGATATCGGAGGTTTCGTTGCCGGACGAGATTTTGATCTGCACCGTCCCGATGTTTCACACCTTCGGGCTGTTGAATTTCGCTCTGGCCACCGTTGCAACTGGTTCGACGGCGGTGATCCTCCGGAGATTCGAGCTAGACGACATGATGGCCGCCGTCGAGAAGTACAAGGCGACGGCTCTGACTTTGGCGCCGCCGGTTTTGGTGGCTATGATCAACGGAGCAGAGAAGATCAAGAGGAAGTACGATCTGAGCTCGCTGAGAACGGTGAGGAGTGGTGGAGCGCCGTTGAGCAAGGAGGCAACGGAGGGGTTTCTGGAGAAATATCCGACGGTCGTTATACTTCAGGCGTATGCGTTGACGGAATCAAATGGTGGAGGAGCTTTCACGGAGACGGTGGAGGAGAGCCGGAGATACGGTGCGGCGGGGAAGTTGACGTGTGATGTGGAGGCCAGGATCATGGATCCGAATTCGGGTCGGGCTTTGGGAATTAACCAAACGGGCGAGCTCTGGCTCAAGGGCCCGACTATTGCTAAAGGTACACAACAATACACTTTAAAAATGCAGTTTTAGATAGTTTCAGATATGTTATATGTATATAAGTCGAATAGACATATTATTGATGTTGGGAAATTTAAAAGATTTAATTATGATCAAATTTCAACTCGTATTTGATTTCGAGCTTTTAAGTAGTAATGGGTGCTGCACATGGTTTGGATTAGTGTGAGTAATGGAATATTTGTATGGTCGTATATGATTTCTAAATGTTAGGTAGCAAACTAGCAATTGATCATTTAGTGTATGATTTTAAAATGTAATATGGATGTTTTATAGAGAAATTGGTAGCAATCAGTCTTAGTTGGAGAACGACAAAATTTGTATTAAAAAAGTTAACGGGGGTCTTAATTAATTGATTAATTTTGTATGTATCCCACTTAACGTATAAGTAGATGCTAAATTTGTTTTTTTTTTGTCGTCAAGTAGAGCTTAACTATTCATATATTAGAAAACAAATGAATGACAGGCTTATATAAACCTTTAAAAATCAAAATATATATATATATATATAATTCTATTTGAAAAAATAGTCAACAAAAAAATCGTAAAATCTTTCTTGGAACAACACAAAACAACTTTTGTTTTACAAGGTTATTTTAAAAACCAAGAAGCTACGAATGAAACCATCAATTCAGAAGGATGGCTAAAAACAGGAGATCTCTGCTATATTGATGAGGATGGGTTTGTTTTCGTCGTGGATCGATTGAAAGAACTAATCAAATACAAAGGCTATCAGGTTAAAGATCTATCTTTGTTATGGATCCAAATGGGTGTAAAAGTATCAAAAGCAACAAAAAAAATAAAAATTAACGGTTTGGACTTGATAAACAGGTGCCTCCAGCTGAGCTAGAAGCTCTCCTAATCATTCATCCAGACATTGTCGATGCCGCAGTTATTCCGTATGTAATAAATCTTTTACAATCACTGAAACGTCATGATTTTTTTTTTTGCCTTTAAAACATCCAAAACAACATGAAGTTCTCTTCTATAAGGTTTCCGGATAAAGAAGCAGGACAATATCCGATGGCTTACGTGGCACGGAAGCTTGAGAGCAATCTCTCTGAGAAACAAGTTATCGACTTCATCTCAAAACAGGTACTTATCTGATCACAAAACTACACCATCTACTTTATCTTATTTGATTTTTGAGAGGTTAATATTAGCTTCAGAGAGTTTTGTTGTTGTGTGGAAGCATCAGAGAGTTTGTAAAAAAATATAAATAACACTGACTTTATGAGCAGGTGGCACCGTATAAAAAGATAAGAAAAGTCGCTTTTATAAACTCCATACCAAAATCTGTATCCGGCAAGACACTTCGTAAGGATCTAATCAAACTAGCCACTTCTAAACTTTGAGTTGTTCTATTTGCTAGATTCTCACTTCCGCATATGCTACTGTTTTTTTCTTTTCAATAAGAGAGAGTTTATAATAATGTTGATTAATGTAAAAGGAGACACATAAAAATATTGAGGCAATTTGCTAATGGGTGTTTTTCTTCTGACTACCTTTTCATGATATATATAGTATATTTGAAATATTCACAGATATAAAGATGATTCAACAAACCCTCTGCACGTTTAGCCATTTTGGCACATTTTGCAACTTGTAACGATTAAGGATACGTTGTGACACATAAAATCAAATGTCTACAGACTACAGTATTATCCAGCCTACTTTTGTTGATTGTTAACCGGGTTTGTTAGGTTCTGAACCAAAAAAAAAGAGAGTAGATTTAGATACGTACTTTTGCTCTTTATAAGATCAAATGATCAATCTTGTCAGTTGTCATTGTTGTCAAGGTCGAGTCACCAGTCGAATACTCAAATGTCTTCATTTGATTTGGTAAATAGAGGCCAACTTTGGAATATTGGAATAGTTCGAAAGACTACTTGAGTCGGATATATACCAAACCACGATTGGACCATCCCATCACAACATCTTTAATCACAATACACTTGCCTAGATCTGATTAAACAAAAATAAAAATTAAGCAAGAAAAATAAACACAAAGCAATTCGTTCTTAAGAGAATAAACACATACCAACTCAATTATTCTCAAGCAATTATTTTGTGTTTATTCAAAATGAAGTACAAAATTAGCTTTTTGTATCCATAACACACAAAATTGACCTTACGAAATGAACAACGGGTGTTTTAGACAAAAACAAAAAAAAACAAGACCCTAATTTTAATCTAAAATCAGAAGACGACAAAATTGCCATTCTCATTTCTCCAACGAGGCAACGACCGACCAATCACTGAAGTGACTTTCGATACAACCAAGACCCCTTGACATGGCGGTTAAGCACGGCGGCGAAATCGGATCCAGAACAGCGACGATAGATCGGAAAAGCGGTTTCTGCGAATCAACATCAGTTTTCTACAGCAAGCGTGAGCCCACGGCTCTCCCGCCAAATCGTTTTCTCGACGTCACGACTTTCATTTCGTCGCAGCCTCATCGAAGCAAGACCGCTTTCGTCGACGCCGTCACCGGTCGTCGTCTCTGCTTCTCTGAGCTGTGGCTCGGCGTCGACAGAGTCACGGCTTGTCTTTCCGCATTAGGTGTGCGCAAGGGCAATGTCGTCATTATAGTTTCTCCAAACTCCATTCTCTTCCCGGTCGTCTCCCTCTCCGTTATGTCACTCGGCGCCATCATCACCACGGCCAATCCGATCAACACTTCCGGCGAAATCGCCAGGCAGATCGGCGATTCGCGCCCTGTTCTCGCCTTCACCACCTGCCAACTCGTCTCCAAACTCGCCACCGCGTCGAATTCGAATCTCCCGGTGGTTCTCATGGACGGAAACCGCGTGACGCCTAACGGAGAACAAACTCACGAGAATCCGGTGAAGATCGTCGGGAGTCTGGAGGTTATGATGGAGACGGAGCCGAGCGAGTCACGAGTGAATCAACGAATCGACCAGGACGACACGGCGGCTCTGCTTTACTCGTCAGGCACGACGGGGACGAGCAAGGGGGTAATGCTGACTCACCGAAACCTAATCGCTTTGGTACAAGCGTACCGAGCCCGGTACGGTTTAGAGCAGCGAACCGTCTGCACAATCCCAATGTGTCACATATTCGGCTTCGGGGGTTTCGCCACTGCCTTCATCGCTTTGGGATGGACGATAGTGGTTCTTCCCAAATTCGAGATGGCTCAGCTTCTCTCGGCGGTGGAGATACACCGATCTTGGTACCTTTCCGTTGTGCCGCCGATGTTGGTAGCCATGGTTAACGGTTCAAACGAGATCAAATCCAAGTACGACCTTAGCTCGTTGCGCACCATCGTAGTTGGAGGAGCTCCTCTGAGCAGAGAGTTAACGGAGAAGTTCGTCGAGATATTTCCGACGGTAGAAATCCGACAAGGCTATGGTTTGACTGAGATGGCTGTTGTTGCTTCTATGTTTACTAAAGAGGAGACGGAGAGGTACGGATCCTCTGGATTGCTGGCTCCAGATGTGGAGGCTAAGATTGTGGATCCGGATACGGATCGGGTCTTAGGGGTGAATCAAACCGGTGAATTCTGGCTCCGGAGTCCCATTGTGATGAAAGGTGTTTGATTCTCTTCTTTAGCTCATCTGCAAAGAAGGTGTTTTTATCCCCTGTTTGTCTGAATCTGCTTACTGTATGTTGTTTTTTCTAAACGTTATTTCAAGAACGAAGAAGCTACTGCGTCTACTATTGACTCAGAAGGATGGTTGAAAACTGGAGATTTGGGTTACATTGACAGTGAAGGTTTTGTCTTTGTTGTTGATAGATTAAAGGAGCTGATCAAATGCAATGGTTATCAGGTAAAAATAAACTACAGATTAACTAACGTCAGTTTAATCTTTCGTAATGCATTGATCATCTGAGATTGTAAATGGTTGTTGGTTTTGGTAATGGTTAAAATGATTGTAAGGTTGCCCCAGCCGAGCTAGAAGCATTGCTGCTTGCTCATCCAGAGATTGCTGATGCAGCAGTTATACCGTAAGAACTGCTTTTATCATGACCCATCACCAAATTCTTCTCCTTTCTTTTTTGATTCGTCTCTTTAAATGATCCTTTTTAAAGAGAAGCTTTTACGTTTCTTTCTTATGGTTTTTGAAGCATTCCTGACATGAAAGCTGGGCAGTATCCAATGGCTTATATCGTAAGAAAAGCTGGAAGTAACATATCCGAAAGTGAAATCATGGGCTTCATCGCAAAACAGGTTTTTCTCAACAGTGCAGATCATGTTTTGTCACTGATCTAACCATCGTTCCTTATAATTAATCTGAGTTTTGTTTGGATTACATAGGTATCACCGTACAAGAAGATTCGAAAAGTCGCATTTTTGGCTTCAATCCCTAAAAGTCCCTCTGGCAAGATTCTAAGAAGAGAACTTGTAAAGCTCACAACCTCAAAGCTCTAGTAGGAAGCTGTTTTCCTCCATCCTTTAGCTCAAAACACCTCATTGTTTGTTAAACTATAATTGATTCTTCTACAGAAATCGCTGTCAAAAACTGAATAATGATATACAAAGTGAAGGATTATATAGAATCTCTGTTTCTCTATTTATATACAAACAGAAAAGACTCTTGTATGTAAAAGCGCTCTCCACAACGCATAAACTGTTAAAAAACTAAAGACTGAAGCTTGTCCTGATCATGAGCTGCGTTGCAACGAAAGAGAGGGAAGAAATATGAAACCGATGAAGCTCCTTTGCACGACATGCTCATGAAGGACACATCATGGTTCTTCTTCTTTATATCAACATCATCATCATCATCATCACCATGGCCAGACAAACTCGGCCTTCTCAACAACATGAGGATGTGATCCATCAAACCTCCATCGCAAGGAACCTGTAAAGGGCCACAAATGGTGGAGCCAAACTCTTCCTCTGCCATCTCCAGTAAGACCTGAAAGATTGGATGTTTCAGATAATCCAACGGCAAAACAAACCTCCTGCCTTCTCTGGTGTACACAGCGAAGTGTCCCTTCTTCCACTTCCTCCACTTCTCCATCAAATCGGTGAGTCTGAGACTCTTACAAGATCCTCTCATCATATCTTTTGACTCTGAACTCTCTGCTCTTTGATCTGTTACCAATATAGTACCGTTGGGTATACTGTTAGTCTGTTGCTGTCTGAAACTATACCTTCCTCTCTCTCCATCTATATATACTAGAAAATGTGATTAGTGTTTGTGGTAGTTGTGATGCGGCCCAAAGAAGGATTAAGAATGTGTGGAAGGAGTAAGGTAGCCGTATGATTTTGTTATCATTTGGGTTAAAAATATTTTGATGAGAATTACAGAAGATCGAAATGTATTATGCGATGAAAATATTTTTTCTTTGTGTATGTATTATTATGGTCATGCATCTCTAGGCATAACCAACAAATTTATTGAATAAAAAATATATAAACGATAAATTTCTGTTTAAAACAAAGTAGTATACAAGTTCGTATTAAAAAAACCAAAGTTTAAGACGTCAAAAAAAAACCAAATTTTAAAATCTAAAAAAAAAAGTGTTACTTGAAAAGCTGTATCAGATACGTAGATAAAGTTATATACTGTATGAATATAAGAAAAAATACTTTTAAGAAATAAGTTTATTAATTGATAGTTGCAATAATACATATAATATGGATTTGGGATTATGTTTTAGAAGTAATAATAATTTAATTGCGAGTATTTAACAAAATAATAATAATTTAATTGCGAGTGGTAAACTACGCTTGCATATAATTTAGACCACATAGTATAGTTTGTGAGACGGTAAATGGAGATGTGGTGGTGACAATAGAGCATGTGAGATGTGACCGTTTAGAGCAAATTGGTGCTACTTTTTCTCTTGGTATTACATTCACGTCCTCAACTTCTCTATTTTGCACTTTCTTGTGTATCTATCTCCCTTGTTTTAATTTCTTCTTGTCTTTTTTCTCTCGTCACATGAAATCCTACAAGAGCTCTCACTTTTCAACTATGTAGTCCCGGGTAGTACACCGTTATAATTTCTATCATTTTTGAACCGTTCTAATTTCTATCAATTTTTCTCAAGTCACATGAAGTCGGTACACCGTTAACAAATTTGAACCGCAAATTGAACCAATAATTTAACCCAAATTTTATACAAAAATTTAGCTGTCTTGTTTCATGATCACTAAACCGAGTGAGTAAGAGCCGGAACCAGACAAACTACAAACTTTCAAACTAATACAAGAACAACTTTCTTTCTTCTTCTTCACTCAACTTCAAAATATCATTGCCTACGTGTTTTTGTGTGTTGTTTATTTCACAGATATATTCAACTTTGGAGTGTTTTCTTTTGGAGATGGTTATCTAAGGCCTGAAGATTCAGAAAGGATCTTGAGTATATAAAAGATTATTATTAGCGCCGGAATCTTGGGAGAGTGATTGACGAGAGGAAGAAGATGGAGGAAAAGAAAGTTCTAAGCAAGCGAGTACTCTTGGAATTATGTATACTAAATAAACCACCACCATTGAAGCAAATCAAGCTGGATCAGAATTATCTAGTTCATTGAGATAGTGTTTACGTTATAGGGTCACTGAAGAAAAAAGCCTTTCTGGTTTATTTTTGGTTTCAACAACAATAGTTAGATGGTATTGTAAGGAGTTTCAAGGACATATTTTCAATAAGTCCAAATTCAAGAATTTGAACAAATATTTTCTTTAATGAAAAAATAAAATTAGACAATGGATAAAATTAAATAATTCTCTATTAAGTCCAGACTCAAAATCTGAACAAATTGCCAGAATAACTGTCGTGTCCAAATCTAAAGCATCAAAATGCTTTCCAAATCCAATACATTTTACTTAATACTCTAATGCACCAAAATACCTGGTTAAAACAATATAATGCAACTAATTACTAGATCATTCAAGTTACTAAATGAATCATTACATGACACATCAAACTTGTGAGATAAACATATCACCGATTTTATGCAAATGCTTCAAGTATAGTTTATATATGTTTTGAAAATATAAGTGTAAAAAAATATTATGAAGTTTCTTACCAAATAGAAAAAAGCATGTCCATTAATTTTCTCAAATAGTGGACTGATATCAGTGAAAGTACTTTTCATTAATTTAACACAGTGTTTTCTTCATCGTATTTGATTTAGCATATAGAAAACTGTAGATTTCATTTACACAGATATTACTAATCCTTTTATATAAAGATAGCCTTACAAAGAAAATAAAAACGAGTACCGTGAGAGAAAAGCTTGTGCTAAGTGTATGATCACTTCAATTTACAACAATTAAAAGAAAAAAGAAATGCGATTCAAATCCGATATTCCGTATTATAAATACACTGGCGAATACAGTTCAAAAAAGTCGCAGTGAGTTTGTTTTAGAGAATCTTGAAGACCGTTACGTTACTCTGCGAAGAGGAAGAAGCTTCTTGCTCGCTCGGTAACTATTCGGGCATCTTCTTCTTCCTTCCGTTTTATCCTATCTCGTTCGTGTCTGACGATTAGGTTATGATTGATTCTTCTGATTCGTTGATCTCAATTCCTTTCTCGATTTCTCGTTTTGATTCTTTTCTTGTTTTCTTTCTATCGAGTTATACGTTCGTTCTCCAGAAAAAACGCGTTTTATGTTTTTTCTCATTGAGTATCGAATTCAGTTGTTTGTTCTTATTTGTTCTTTTGATTAGTTTTCGAATATGATCTTGATTTGTCATGTTCTTGTGGTCTATCGTTCAATGCAAATGTAGTTTCTAGTCTTTTTGTGGAGGAATAATGAGATTCTGTTTCTTCAAGGACTCAAAAAAGTCGAATGATGATGATTGATCTGTTTTAACGATAAACAACCTTCTTCTTTGGGTGAACGAAAGGGCTAGGGCAATTTCAAACCCATTAGTTGGAGGAAGAGTATCACCCAAGCTAACTATGGATAATCCACTTTCATACGTCGCTTCTGTCTACGAAGCATTTCACGATGAACCTGAAAAATTAGATGAGTTTTTCAAGCTCGCGGAGGATGCTACCGCTAATAGGTGTGAATCATCCTCCTCTCTCTGATTTGCTATCAGTTTACACAACAGAACTCAATATGTGAATTGATGATTCTCTTTTTTTGGTAGATTCGATGAAGCTAGTGCCATTGCAATGACTGAACTCATGAAAGGACATCAGAATTTGGTTCAGGGCTTAAGCGTCTTCTTTCCTAATGCCAATATGACCAGCCCTCGTGAGGCTGCGCAAGTTAGAATGCATGATGCAATTAATTTCTTAAAGAACCTTAAGGTATAGAATTGCTAACGGTAAAACTAGTCCTATATATGGAGACGCTATTTTTGATATTTCCTTCTTTGCTAACTTTGTGACTTATATAAACGAATTTGTGGATAAGCAGGAAAGATTCGAGAGCGTTAATAGTCATGTATATAACTCGGTTGTCAGGATACTGAAAAAGTATGAAAATGGGAAGATGTTGGAAAAGGAGATGCGCAAGGAGGTAGGTTCATAATGGGCTATTTTTTCATTTTTGTGTGGCACTGCTCTTATGTTTTTTTATTTTTTTTTTCCCTTGATTTAATTTGGTTACTATATATCTTGCAGGTCCTTGACCTTGTCTATTATCATGAAGATTTGACCGGGGAGTTTTGCAGGATGTTTCCGCCTAAACCTTGATATTGTCGCATCAACATCTCTACTAGCATAAATATACTGTGGCTTCTGTAGGATGTGTGAAACAGAGAATTCATTTTAGAAAGACCATTCTCAAAGGTTTCTTATGTAGAGGTTTAAGTTTAGTTTGATTCTTCTAACATGTACAAATGCTTTTGTTATATGTTTTCTGGTAACCAAAATTTTGTAAAAACGATTTAGATGTATTGATTTCATGAACACAAAACCGAGTGACTAAAAACCGGAACAAGACAAACTTTCAAATTAAAACAAGAACAAAACTGATCTTCTGAGGCCCACTGGAAATAATGCAAGCTTCGATAGTATTCGTCTGCATTTCACAACGACAACTACACACGAAACATAATAACTCTTTCGAACACATTCTTTTCTCTGAACAAAACCATATTGTCAGACTCTAAAAACCCTAAACCCTAAGATTGCCTGGCTTAGCTACCCTGACCCGACTCAATCCTCGAAAAAGCCTTTTTCGTGTGCATACCTGTCATCTTCATTCATTAAACGCGCAACTGGATCAGCGGGGTGGACCAGGAGGCGAGTTTTTGTGGCCTAAGTAAGAGAAAAAAAGCTCCAACTTCTCATATGGTTTGGGTCTTTACATAGATAGTGGAAGAAGCATCCTTCGCTTCTTCTTCCTGGCTAATCTCACTTGCTTTGTGACCTTCATGCACACAAGTAGTAGCAAAGTGACACACACCAAGATGAACGCGAGTTGCAATCGCTTGAAGTACAAGGAAACCGCTGAAAACACTAAAAACGCTAAGATGACTAGCTCCCAGATGACAAAGACTACAACATCCACCCTGTATCAAACCAAATAGCAGGTTATTAATAAAAAATATGTAACTCACTGCGCATGTTAGTGAACTTTAGTAAGTAGAGCTGACACAGCATATGACTCAATCATGATTGTAAGAGATAAGAACGAAAGTATCATCATTACAAAAATGGGATTGAATCCTGAAATAGATATGCATATCGATTTAACTAAAAATGGGATTGAATCCTGAAATAGATATGCAAATCGATTTAACTCTAGTGTGAGCTTGGTGCAGGTAATCTTATGACAGAAAACCGTGTGTTCGTTGATAGGCAAGAACCCCTACATGTCATGTAGATGCTATATTTTGCATCTCTATCTATCTATATATATCACAAACCCCTACAAGCACAGAGTGATCAGCATGAATTGCTGTTGAAATCCTACAACGAAAATAAAACAATAATAGCATAGTATCAAACATAATTATGTCAAGCATCATGACAAGAGCATGTCGATGGAGGCAGAGATTGTATTTTGAATCCAGTTACCCACAAACATAAATAGTAGTGAGGCAGAATACTCTAATAAACATCCTATACTCGAAGACCTATTGCAAGCAAAATCAACTTCATCTTGCCTGAATGACAATGTCAAAGGTCTCGTTAAGGTCACAGTGCAGCTAGCTTGACTTAAACACAAGAAGAAAAAAAATACTGATAGAGCCAGAAAACTCAAATCACAATCCTCTTTACTGTGAATAAGGAAATCCACATGAAATTTCTCGTAAATTTCGAGAATTCCCAACTCCGACTTAACGAATTGCAGGAGTTTATATTTCCCTGGTTAGAACATCACATTCAGATCTTCGAAACCCTAACTTCCAAAATGTAAAATTCACGTAACCGAATCCAATTCTCTAAACATTACGCAACTAGAGCTAATATCAAGCGAAGAACACGGGAAAATGGGAACTTGGGGCTACAGATACGGAAACAGGAAAACCAAAAATGCACAGATCTCGAATCACATTAAAGACGATAATGCTCACCTAGAAGAAGAAAAACTCGAGGTCGACGAGAAGAAAGAGACAGATGCCCAATCATGCTTTGATCGAATCTGGTATTCCCTCAGCTGCTCTGCTAGATTCGACCTTGTTATCATCGCTTCTTATGCAACGTCTCCGGATTTCTCCACCTACAATTTTCTCTCTTCTCAGTCCACTGATAGCAAGAGAATCGTCGAAGAAACACGAGATTTGCGGATCAATTCATGTGGGTAAGATTCGAAATTGATGAATCCAACAACGGAAATATAACTCTGGAGATTCAAATATCGGAGTCAAATCAATTTTCAGAGACGGAAACGATGTTCGATTCGTCTAAGTTCGTTAGCGTAGACAATCCTCCTTCTTTCCCCTCTCTCGGTGTCAAAACCCCGGGTCGGGTTATACCTTTCTGGATCCAAACAAGATGTGACCCGACCCGAATTTAGAAGCCCATGTTAGTGAAATGATGTTTTACGCAAACATACATACATTGGGCCGTTCGAGATCGTAAAACTAAAACAAAACATAGGAACTTGAGTTTTGTTGATGGCGCTAAGTTGCCGTTACGTGTACGGAAATCAGTGGAGTTAGCTCATCTGTGTTTTAGATCTATAAAATTGTTTTATCTTTGGGGTACAATTGTCTCTGTATACTCAAATGAGGATTTTGAAGGGATAATTGTGTGCGACGTTGTATAGTAGATTATGATTACTTTAATCTTTAGATAAAAAAATATGTATGGTGATTCAAGAATTTCACAAATAACTGAGGTTGTTTAATGCTCAGCCACAAAGTTTGGGGGTTCTACAATGTGTTCTACAGTGTGTGCACACATTTGTTTGTGGATTTTGTCGACCGAATTACATGCTAATTCAAATAAAATCTAATTATAAATTTGTATGGAGAATATTTAAAATATCTAAATTTCGTAGCAATAAATTGGTTCTTTATCAAATAATTATGTATTCATGAATAGACTTTCATCTGTTTAGCTTAGCTTTATAGGTGAATCATTGAAGGTGGTTTTTGAAGTGGTTTCAGTTTATTTGATTCGGTTATTTTGTTAGGATATGAAAAGTAAAGAAACTTTGGTGACAAATTATACGATTCAATTTTTGTCTTAATCAAATATATCTCTGATCTAGTTCGATTATGATCTGTTCTATTTGGTTCAGCTTTGTGTTTTCATTTTGGACTAAGGTTTCTGCTAACTAAACATTTCGACTTGAATTATTTGTTTGCGATCAAGAAGCTAGATAACATTTCTTTCCCATATAGCAACGAAAACGATTGCTTAGTTTGGTTTGTGTCGGTACAGTGACCGCCCCAATGCCTAAAATACAAAAAAAATCGGTATGTTACGGGTCGCGTGTTCAAGAACACGTCTCAATTTATTATGTCGCTCGTCGACTTGAATCTTTCAACCGAACACGATTCATCATAATTTAATTAATTTAAGGTAAATCCGAAAATGGTGCGTTATCAATGCCCCCATCTGTTCGATTTTATTTAAATAAAATGATAAAGTTTTTCGTCCGTAATGGATATAACCAGAGAAGCTGAAAATGACACCACAAACTTACAATTTCTTACACTTGGTTAGACGTTTGAAAAGAAAAAATAATTCACACCATCGCCAAAATCATTTTTATTACTCTTTGCTGCATCTGCATGTATTTGTAAGTTTGTAACGTCTTTAAATGGTAATTTATTACAGGAGTAATGTCATGTTAGTAATAATTCAACCAAAAAATATCTGCTTCTGCCGACGTGGCTTAGTAAGTCCAATGGCCCCCACATGACCGACATCCATGCAATAAGCCAATCAAAATCGACCAAAGGTTCCAGGCGTGGGGCCTTTTAACGTTCTTTAGTCACGTGTTTGCCTTGTATTGGCTTAATTCATACTTTCCGCATTATTATTTTTTCTACGTCCTTCTAATGTTCCCATTAGTCTTCCCACTTACTGACCGTCAGTTTTTGATCTCGTCAATACTGATCGACACGAGCCATGATGGTAATGGCTAATAAGAATCTGTTTACAGTTCGGTTATATTTACTCAATTATTTTAGAGGGTATTGTAATTTGAGCCTGTTAGCTAACCTGAAAAGGCCATAATGTACTTGGAAAACTAAGTAAACAACCTTTGAAGTTGATAAGATTCTGCTTAACGTTGGAAACCTGCATTTAATCTTGGTTGAATACATATATCGAATCTAGTATGGAAAATATTAAAAAGACAATAATTTTCAAATACGAACATAAAAAATAAAAGATTAACGATGAAATGTTCCAGTCAATTACTCTTTAGTTATATGTACCTAATTAATTTTAATAATTATGCAACAAAAGGATGTACTTCGACCACGTAACCAAATTGGATACAGCTCCTTGTAGATGATAAAAGTATAACATGACTATGCGATAATGCGATTTTTAAATACTTGTTTAACTCTTCATATAACTTATATTAAATTCATATAATCCAGAAAAATAGTGGTGATTTCACGATTCTCAGCTACCGACTTTTTGGGGTCATTCTACAATTTATTAAGAATAATCTCCATCCTCTGCTATATTATTTTTAATAATAAAAATCTATACAGCGTGGCCTCCGCGTTGGCCTGGACACTTCCCCTCACAGGGCTCACACTATAAAACCCCACTCTCGTCTCTCATCACAATACTCATCTCAGCTTTTTAAAATCACCTCAAAAAAGCAATTAAAATCTCAATTCGAATTTGAAATTTTCTCAGCTTTATTTAATATTCTCGCTAGTCGATCAAGAGTAACAATGGCGGAAGAGTACAAGAACGCTTCGGAGGAGTTCAAGAACGTTCCGGAACACGAGACCACCCCAAAGATCTCCACCACGGAGGAACCATCGGCAGAGGTTAAGGATCGAGGATTTTTCGATTTCTTGGGGAAGAAGAAAGAGGAAGTGAAACCTCAAGAGACGACGACGCCACTCGAGTCTGAGTTCGAGCACAAGGCTCAGATCTCGGAACCGCCGGCGTTTGTGGCGAAGCACGAAGAAGAGCAAGAGACGAAGGAGAATAAGCCTACTCTCGTCGAGCAGCTTCACCAGAAACACGTGGAGGAAGAAGAGAACAAACCCAGTCTCTTTGACAAGCTTCACCGATCCAGCAGCTCTTCTTCCTCTGTAAGTTATTAAAATTCGTCCGTACAGAAGTTTATGAAAAATTTCGATTAGTTCATATTTTTTTGGGTTAAATTTGGAAACCAAACCTATTGTGTATTGATCATGTGAAATTTGAATTTCTAACAGTCAAGCGATGAAGAAGGTGAGGACGGTGAGAAGAGGAAGAAGAAGAAGGAGAAGAAGAAGACTGTCGAAGGAGAGGATAAAACAGAGGAAGAGAATAAAGGAGTAATGGACAAGATCAAGGAGAAGTTTCCACACGCAAAGAAAACAGAGGATGATCATGCACCAGTCGTCACCGGCGTCCCAGAGACGGAGAAGATAGGAATGACCGAGAAGATAAAGGAGAAGCTTCCAGGCCACGGCAAGAAACCTGAGGATTCACCAGTCGTCGACACCGCGCCGGTGGTTGAGACAGCGACGCCAATTACGGCGGAGCATTCGGCAGAGCATCCTGCGGAAAAGAAGGGATTTTTGGAAAAGATCAAAGAAAAGCTTCCAGGTCATCACGCCAAGGGCACTGAAGAGATGGAGAAGAAAGAAAAAGAGTCTGATGCTTAAAGAATGATGAAAGAATATAATGATGATGTTGAAGTGGGACATCAATTTGCTGTGTTTCTGTGATGATATTATTACTTTTCTTTGTTTATCTTTGAAGCTGTTCTGTATGAATTGTGTCTTTCGTTGATTTGCATTTGCACCTTTATATTGTAATCTCATTTTCTCATTTATAAATTTGCCTTTGGTTTCTAAGTAATGTTTCGAGTTATGTTATTATGTGTGTAGATTTTCATTTTGTATTTCCATAAAACTCGTCGTTTACATTTGGTTATTACGGTGTTATGTCCACATGATCACCTCGTATTGACAAAAGTCTCAAATGATGACAAATACAAAAGGAAAAGAACGTGAAAAAGTACTAAATTCTTCCACTTTAGTAGTATTGTACACACGATTATTAAACTATGTCCCCATCGCTTCTAACATTTTGGAATTTGGATATACAAAGCCCACCCACAAAAAAAAAGAAAAGAAAAGAAAAGTAAACAGCTATTTTCTAATTGAATAATTGTCAAAACTCAAAACTGATTAACAAAGATAAACAGTGTAGCGATCGAACTTTAGTTTTTTTTTTCTGATTAATAATTCATGAAAATACTTTAAATTTTTGGTTGAAACATAATTTAGAATAACTGTTGCTTTCAGAAGTTAATATATTAGTTCTAACTATGATCACCCGCATATTTGTGAGAAAAATTGTCTAATATAATTATCAATAAAGGGCCAATTACATACAAGATCAATTTTGTGCATCAAGCGATGATTAAATCTATCGGCGTCTTTGCTTATGGACTCCCTAAGTTTTTGGCGACTGTAATAAAAAGTGATCGGAGTATTATTTTGATTTAAGTCAATGGGATTACTATTCTAGTTCACTCGTACGACGTTGTTGTAGTGCTTAAACACATGTATCCCCCTTATAATGGCTCTGTATTTGGCAGGGATTTTTCTCCTTATTCTCTATATTGGAAGGGTTTAGCTAATGAATGAGTTTAGGGTTTTGCAAGGTGCATGGGATGGGATTCAGACAAATTGGTTAATTACGGGTCGCGTGTTCATTGAAACGTCTCAATTAATTACGTGGCCCGACGTCGTCAGTCTTTCAACCGAACACGATTTGTATAATTTAAAAATAAAAGCAACATCCGAAGTGGTGCGTTCTCAATGCGCCCATCTGTTAAATCTGGTTTAAATATACGACCAAACTTTCGTCCCTAATTATCATGTACAAGCCGAATGACGACATCGGCTACCTATAATTTCAAAAAAAAAAATTTATTTCAATTCCGTTGTTTATCTTAAATAAAATTTTAGTTTGCTGCATGTTTTACCTTTTGTACCGTAATCTGTTGAAGGAGTAATATTTTGTTTTTGTAAACATATAATTTTTTGTTACGTATGAGCAATATCCTTTTTTGTTACGTAATGTCCTGATAATGAGAGTAATTCACTCCAAAAATATCTGCAATTTAGAAAGAAACGTAAAGAAAGAACTAAAAATATCTGTAATCTAGCTTCTGCCCACGTGGCTATACAAGTCTAATGGACCCACATGACCGACATCTCACTCTTGTATACGTGTCAATTATATATAGGCTTAATTCATGCCTTTCCATATTATTTTATTTTATTTTCTTCTACTTCGGTCTTTGTTCTGTCGTTTTTACATATCCATTAATTATTGCCACATGGCGTGATAACTATGGCTAGTTAAACCTGTTAATAGTTTGGGCATATGAGTGTCAGTAACTCCCTATTCATTTTAAATGATCATCTTTTTAAGAAGATATTGCAGTCATACCCCGTTAAGTTTATTTTCTTACAGATATAACCTGAAATCCTATGAGAGTTTGAAACATATGTTTGAAGTTAGAAGTTTCTCTGTAGTTTACAAACTACCATGTGCCTAAGAAACTAATTGATACATATAGAAAAGGTTAAAATTGATTTCACATACTAAATTACGTAATATTATTGACGTTTAAATATATGCAAGAGTTTTACTTCCAGTACAATTAATTTTTTTTCTTTTTCCTTATTCAACATCTAGTTCAAATCCTAAACCACTACATTATATATATTCCTAGTCACTTCACAGTCTTTTATTTAATTATTTTTATTAGATATTATAAGGTATTAGCAAAAAAAAAAAAAAAAATTAGAAGGATGTACTTGGACCACGTACCCAAAAGTTCGATACAGCTCCCGTAGATAACAGTACATGACTGATGACTATGCGATATCTAATATTAGTTAACTCTTCATCTATATAAATATCCTTAAAATTAAGAACAAAAAGGGTGATTTCATCATGATATTCATCTACCGACGTGAAGAAAAAGGGAGAACATTCTGCAATTTACGAAATAATATCTATCCTTTGTATTAATAAAAAATTAATTAAATATTTTACAGCGTGACCTACGCGTTGGCCTGGACCCTCCTCACACTATAAAACCACTCCATTTCTCTCATCACAAACAACACACAACACACAGCTCTTCAAAACAATCTCCAACCAAAGTCAAATTCTGATAATTTTTTCTCTTTACTAAACGTTCAATCTGTTCAGATTAATTATGGCTGAAGAGTACAAGAACAGCGTTCCCGAGCACGAGACCCCAGAGGTCAAGGATCGGGGAGTGTTCGATTTCTTGGGGCAGAAGAAAGAGGAAGTGAAACCTCAAGAAACGACGACAAAGGTCGATGATGAAGCGATGGAGAACAAGCATACTCTCCTCGAGGAGCTTCAAGAGAAAACCGAGGAGGATAAGCAAAACAAGCCCAGTGTAATCGAAAAACTTCACGGATCCAACAGCTCTTCTTCCTCTGTAAGTTTATTCATTTGAGTTTGATCGAAGATATCATGATACGGCTAAAACTAGTTTCCTCTGTTTAGGCTGTTAAATTTTTGTTGGATCTTGGAAACAAAAAAATCAGACAAAGAGTATTATTGTATTTAATATACTCATGGTTTTGAAACTTTGAATTTTGAACAGAGCGATGAAGAAGGTGAGAAGAAGAAGAAGACCTATGAAGGAGAGGAAGAGAAGAAAGGAGTAATGGAGAATATCAAGGAGAAGCTTCCAGGCCACGGCAACAAAGCAGAGGATCATGATGTACCGGTCGTCACCACCATGCCAGCAACTCATTCGTCGGACCATGTTGTGGAGCATCACCAAACCGAGGAAGAGAAGAAAGGAATGACCGAGAAGATCAAGGAGAAGCTTCCAGGCCACAGCAAGAAACCAGAGGATTCACAAGTCGTCAACACCACGCCGATGGTTGAAACAGCGACGCCAATTACGGCGGAGCATACGGCGGAAAAGAAGGGTATTTTGGAAAAGATCAAAGAAAAGCTTCCAGGTCAACAGGCCAAGACCAATGGAGAGGAAGAGATGAAAGAGAAAGAGGCTGTTTAAGCAAAAAAAGTTGAAAGAGTGAATAAAATGATGTGGGAGTGGGACATATTTGCTATGTTTTTGTCATCATTATCTATTTTTTTCTGTTCTGTTCTTTTCTTTAATGTGTTCTCAAGTTTGTGTCGTTGTTATGTAATTTCTGTTTTGTCTTTTGTATAAAATTTGGGTATGGTTTCTACTTTCTACGTAATGTTTTCGAGTTTTTATGTGATTTGTGTGTTGGTTTGCAGATGGTATTACGTAAAACTCCCCGTATATTTCTTTACATTTGTTTATAACTTTACATTTGTTTATTACGTTATTCACATAATCACTTCGAATTGACAAAAGTTTCAAATGTTGACATGTATAAAAGAGGAAAATGATGTGGACAGCTAAAATACTATAATTCTTACACCATTCACCAGATAATCTAACTCTAATAATACGAACATTGATCTAGCTCCAATATTTCGCCATCTGGCTTCTAAATATTTTGGATTTATATAGATCATCTCCAAAAATATGGTCTTCCAAGATGAACCATCATCAATTCATTATCAACATTGAACACTGATAAGGAACAAAGTAGAAATCATTTTAAATAATATAATAAAATAGAAAAGACAAAACAACACACACAGGAAAAAAAATCAATAGGGATGAAACTTAGAGAATTTTTTTTTTTAATTTTAAGTTTCATAACTATATTAGTATTGCTTTGTGAACTTGCAATATATTTCTGTGTCAATATGGTAATTCTATATAATTAATTATATGATTAGTATTGATGCTATATATAAAGACTCCATTTATGAGTTTCATTCATCTCATTATGGTTTGTTTTAATGGTCAACAATCAAAATCAAAGAAGTGATTGAAAATGAATTGTATTGATAGACAACTATTGAGATAAGAATTGTTGTTAATTAAAGCATATCAATTTCCTCCATTGTTACTGAAATGAGCTGCGTTCAACACATTTATCCAATCCATCTTTATTGAGTTTTACAATGTCACGGTTTGCACGTCAGTTTTAGCCTTTTCTACAACAAAAGCATAAAAAAATGATTGGGCTTCATCTAATGGCATAAAAAGCCCAAATCTTTCATAAACCCTTTCTCTCTTAGACGATAGTCTCCTTCCTCTTTTGTTCTCATTTGACACACACAATGGCTTCGTCTGCGCCACAGGGATCTGTTGATCCTCTCACCGGGAAAGATCCGGCGAGGGCGTTAACTGCCGTAGCGTCTGGTTTCATCGAGAATGTGAAGAAAAACAAGCAGAGCTTCTTCCAGTTCTTCGCGATGACTGGAATCTTGCTTCTGAGCTTCCGATCGGTGAGTCAGAAGTACAGAATTCACGATCTGGAAGAAGACACGGATGTTCTCAAGAAGGAGAGAGATAGTTTAACGGATCGTATGAGTAAAATCAAGAGCGATCTTCTGCATCAAGCGTCGATTGACTCTACCGGCGTCTTCGCTTCTCGACTCCGTCTACTTTTTGGCGACGATAAAAAGTGACCAGAGGTTACGAATTTTCTCACTCGTAAGATGTTATTGTTGTTCTAAACAGATGTCTCTTGCCTATATGGTGAATAAATGATTAGGATTTTATGGTTATGTGTGATTCAGAAAATGGTGTATCAGTTTGATTTATCCGAAACTCTACTTCGTGAAGTCAGCTTTTTTAATAAGTTCGGGTTGTTGAACGATTAGGAGCTGTAGGTTTCTTCTGCGGCATTTCGTCGAACACTTAAACTGCGTTTTGAAATTTTCACAATTTTGGCTTTTAAAGGAAGACATTTTACACTATTTGGAACTAGAAACTGGATGTCACGTGATTGCTTGGTGGTTCACCTCATGAACCAATCGATTAAAATTCAATGTGGTGAAAATTGGCGTTGGTGAGTAGTAAAACAGATCATCATTCGTTTTGTCGTTGAGTAGTAAAACAGATTTTTGAATCATCTAACTGGAGTGATGATGTTCTTATCTAGTTTAGTGACTATTATATATGCGATAGTTTGATATTTTTGTTTTCCTTGTGAACGAATTGAAGGGTCTTTAGGAATTTTGTTTTGTAGTATCAATAAACTAATTAAGGTTTGATGGTTACGTACTATTGGCAAACTTTTTTTGGGGGTCTGTAATTTCGGCATTCTACTCGTAAGCAAACAATTCAATGAAATCGATCTTGGATCAGCCGCCTGATGATTCATAATTCATCCAAAGGTGGATTTGGTGGTACTTTCTTAGTAATCGAATGTCCATATTAATCAGATAATCCATTTGATTCAATAAAGTTTTTTTTTTTTTTGGCTATCTATAAAGTAATTGATTACCATAACTGTACAATATATATCTTGACTAAACATACATCTACTTGGTAATAAACTAGGGAGTGGAGGCAAAAAAAAATCGTTTGGATTGGTAAATATAGGTATTTGAAAAGTACATAGGACATTAATCTTGTTGGGCTTGATGAGTAATTACAAGCTGATGGAGAAGACCAATCCTCAAGTCAGAGTTCAACCTATTGCCAAAAACAATCTTTGACCCTTTATTAAACGATTTCCACAAATATATATCCTTATTCCACACAAATATATATATACGTCTCATTTCTGACAAAAAAGGGATACATATATACGTCTCATTTTCTATATCACTTCACACTAAGGTTCGAATTGAAGAAACAGTTCTTCGAACATGAATATGGCGGCCAAAGGCGAATACGGCGGTGTTTTGGTTATTATGGGTTTACTATCGCATATAATTGCCATTGCGGCAGAAGATCCGTACAAATTCTTTGAATGGCACGTAACATATGGTACAATCTCTCCTATGGGCGTTCAACAACAGGTGCTTGCCTAATCTTTATATGGTTACACCAGTAAAATGTCGGACAAATTATTTCTCGTTCGTTTTATTTATGGATTATACATATGGTTTTGTTGACCGGATTATGATGATTCCTTGTTCCGTGTAGGGTATATTGATCAACAAGATGTTTCCGGGACCGGAAATTCGATCTGTTACCAATGATAATCTCATCATTAACGTATTCAACAAACTAGACGAGCCTTTTCTTATCTCATGGTATGTACGTTAACAAATGGTAACTGGTAAAATGTAAACATTAATTTTTGATAAAACCAAAACCATCCGGTCCAAGTCCAACTAATTAAGCATTACATCGATTTTTTTTTTTAACAAATATTTTGACTAACGAGAGCGAGTACGTCGATTCATTTTTTTTTTTTTAACAAAAGGGGCGGGATTCAAAATAGGAAAAACTCATATCAAGATGGAATGTACGCGACTACATGTCCGATCCCGCCGGGGAAGAACTACACTTACGCTCTCCAGGTTAAGGATCAGATCGGAAGCTTCTACTACTTCCCGTCGCTCGGATTTCACAAAGCCGCCGGCGGATTCGGTGGAATTCGTATCTCCACCCGTCCATTGACACCTGTCCCTTTCCCTCCTCCCGCCGATGATTACACTCTTCTTATCGGCGACTGGTTCAAGTCCAATCACAAGGTAACCCTAATTCTCCCCCTACGCTTCGAAATCGCGATCCTAAAACGCAATATATTCTGGTCGCGCTTTCGGCTGCGGTTTCGAATCGTCATCAGAATACTGTTGTAGATTTCTCTGTTATAATAATCGGACATACATGTGCAAATGTGCAATTGTTCATAAATGCTCATGTGTTTACACATTGGGAAAATGAATTGGGGGTAGCTGAAACATTTATTTTGATTCTTCACACAGAATGTTTGTCTTGGCAATGCAGCTTGATGTAGCCAAATGTTGTCACTTGCTTGGATTATTTGAATGATGTTTATTGAATTCTTTTGCGTAGGCCTTGAGAACACAGCTCGATAATGGCGGAAAGCTTCCTTTTCCAGATGGAATTCTCATTAACGGCCGCGGTAGCGGTGCTACACTCAATATTCAACCAGGTTTTTTGCCTTTCTTTGTCTCTGGTCTCGCTCTTATGTTACTTATAACGCCGTTTTCTCGACATTACTGATAAGGTTATGATGTGGATTTTTGACCTTTTACACAGGAAAGACATACAGGCTTAGAATATCAAACGTGGGATTACAAAACTCCCTCAACTTCCGCATCCAGAACCACGTGATGAAGTTGGTTGAAGTCGAAGGGACACACACTGTTCAGAACGTCTTCTCTTCGCTTGATGTTCACGTTGGTCAATCTTACTCGGTCCTCATAACGGCTAATCAGCCTGCAAAAGATTATTACATTGTGGTCTCTTGTAGGTTTACACCGAAGGTCCTCACCACCACCGGTGTTCTCCATTATAGTAACTCTGCTGGACCTGTTTCTGGACCTATTCCAGGTGCACCAACTATGTTGAGCTGGTCTTTTAACCAGGCTCGAGCTATAAGGTACTCTCTGCAGTTATTTGTTTGCCACAAGTTTGAAAGGCAACTTCTTCAGTATCATCTAGATTATAGGCTCCAAAGCGGCTGATTAGCGTAGAGGATATTCATGAAATATCCGCCTTATTTAGTGGTGCGCTCAAAGTCACCTTAAAGGCAAAAAGCTTTGGAGTTACTTGAATTTTACTTGTAGATTTTAGCTGGACTGTGTTGGTGGTGGAAGTAAGACTGATTCTTGGCTTGGTTTTTGAGCGGTTTTCTTTGTGTGTTGTAGGACCAACCTTACAGCGAGCGGACCAAGACCAAACCCCCAAGGTTCATACCACTATGGTATGGTAAAAGTCACGAGAACCATCAAGCTTGTTAACTCTGCTGGACAGATCAAAGGCAAGCAACGATACGGCGTAAACAGCGCATCATTTTACCCAGCAGACACCCCTTTGAAACTCGCAGACTACTTCAAGATTAACGGTGTATACAAGCTTGGAAGCATATCTGAGCAGCCCACAAATAAACCAATATTTCCTGCCACATCTGTCTTGCAGGCTGATTACAGAGACTTTGTGGAGATTGTTTTCGAGAACAGGGAAAGTATAGTCCAAAGCTGGCACTTTAATGGTTACTCGTTCTTCGTTGTTGGGTAAGTATCACTTCTTCTCTAAACTGTTTTCTCATCCCTTCTCTAATATCTCTTAACTATTCGTGTTTGCATTCACAATGACCACACGGTATGCTTAGTGGTAGCATTCTCTAAGACATGAGGAGTCCTTAAAAACGAAATGTCTGAGCATTTTGATCTCGCTATAAGTTATAAGTAATGATTTGTGGACTTGGCCGTCTAACTATCAGAATGGAGCTTGGGAAGTGGAGTCCTGCCAGTAGGAAAGTATATAATCTAAACGATGCAGTCTCACGTTGTACTGTTCAGGTGAGATTTCTCTAAATTTTTTAGATTTTGATCTCAAACAATTGGCTATAAATCGTGAGCCTGAGTTTGTGTCTAATGAGAACTGTTGGATGAATCCGTATAGGTATATCCAAGATCATGGACTGCAATATACGTAGCACTAGATAACGTAGGAATGTGGAACCTGAGATCAGAGTCGTGGGAGAGACAATACTTGGGACAACAGTTGTACATGCGTGTCTACACAACGTCGACGTCTCTTAGAGATGAATATCAAATCCCGACGAACGCTCTTCTCTGTGGTAGGGCCATAAAAGACTGACGTTTGAGACTTGAGAGTTAGATAGAGAGAACCTGAACTCGTTCTCTTCTTCGTTTGTTGCTTCCTTTTCTTCCTAAGGGAGAGTTTTCCATATAATAGTGTGGTTCATCATACATTTTTGAAACAAATCTAATTACAGAGATTTTCTCTTTATGAGTATATATATTTTCATCAGTTCTTTGGTACATGTTGAGCTTCTGGAACACATATACTTTTAACCTCGATAAATCTTTGGACGATAACTTTTGTAGTAAAAAAAATTACTAGAATCATTCAAGCTCCCACTACATTATAGTATAAAAGATTTGTAATCAAATTTGAGAAATTACAAGTTACATTGATGGCGGGTGACATAAGTGAATCTGAAAACTAAAGGAAGAAACAAAAAAAGAAGAAAGAGGGGCGTTCCGAGAATCGAACTCGGGACCTCTCGCACCCAAAGCGAGAATCATACCACTAGACCAAACGCCCTAGTTGCTATGCACCTCAAATAATTATTTATATATATAAATTTAAAACACACGTAAGCTTCCTTCGACACTGCGAGCTCGCAGCTTCGTTTCTAATTGACTCCGCCTTCTCCGATTTTTCGAAAAACAATGGCCGACGAAATGAAACCCGCGTCCGGCGACTCAGCCGGTTTATCCAACGGCCTCGTAAGCCATGGAGACTACAAAACAATGCGAGTGTACGAAACAGCTCGATCTCTGCATCCCGGTGCTGTAAAAGATCTGCTATCTCTTGGGGTCCGTACTCTTTTCTCTTGCTCTCAATGGCTCTTAGGGTTTCTCTTTCTTACCTCTTCTCCGTTCCGCGTCTAATCTGTTATTGAATTAGTTTTTTCTCCCGATTTTTGCTCAAGTCGTTTTATCTGTGCTCTTTTAGGTGTGCGAGAGATGTATTTTCCGATTGGTCGCCGTCGAGTCTTTTGATTCCGATTTTTCGTCAGTCTCGACGTCAACTCTCCGTATTTGGCTAGAATCAGGCGATGATGAAACTGGTTTGCCAGAGTCTAGCTGCTCCAGAATCTGCATTGTTTGTTTGGGTATATTGCAGTTCGTTTTTTCCGATGCCAAACAAACGCTGGTGAAATCTGATTGTAGTAGTGATTACGTCGCGAGGATAACGGACTTGGTGAAGCAGGACGGTCATGAGTTCGATAGCTTTGGTCTCGAAGTCTCTGTGCCGTCAACTATCACGGAGAATGAACGTGCAGTCCTGTAAGCTTCACTTGCATTTATGTTTGGCTTTTGGTACATGAAAACTTTGAATCTCCATATATGACTATTTTGTTTCTGCTCTAATGTTAGATGTTTCTACCTCTATAGGTCATACCTTAAAGGAAAGTATAGCAACGAAGCTTGGCTGCAGAGCGAAAAAAATTCTGTAAAGGATGCCTTAAAAGTTCTAGTCTTGGATCCACTTAAAACGTTGTTGGTGAGTCGGTTATCTGCTTAAATGTGGTTTCTGTTTTGAAAATTGTTGAGTTGCTTATGTTTTCACCTCTGCTTCTATTGTTTAGTATCTTATACAACATGATGTTTTAGCCTGCAAAATCTGCGGCAAGAGGACAGAACCTTAAAGATTGAACTTTTGCATGTCTCTTCCCTGATTTGTGTTTTGCAGGGCGCTAAATCAGATTCAAGCTCTTTTCACATCCGTTTGACATACTCTAAGACATTAGATGAGGCTCAAGGTGTGTCTGAAACAACTCATGAAAGAAAGAAGAGAAAAACAGGTAAGTCGATACTCTACAATTAGTTATTAGTTAGTTGAATTTTTGTTTGAATTCCTGATAAATCATCTATGAGAATTGACTGATCGTGCATACATTAGCACTTGAAATATCACACAGACTTGTGATGTTTAAGGAGTTTGTTGATGAAATAATAGTTGACCTTCATGAATGAAACTAGTCTATGGTGATGTCAGAAGACTCTTTGAGTTTTATGTTGACGTCTTTATCTGCGCTACTTTATTGTCTTCCCTAGATCATAGATGTCATATTTTATCTATATATGCATATATACTTTTTCTTTGATCTTGTCTAGCTTTAATGTTCCATGTCTTCTTATGACCGTGTATACACTTTTCAGACCTTGTAGATGTTCTTTATACACTTCTTATGACGGATTTTCCAAGTGCTATATTTTATGTGTAGATGTTGTTTATGCAGACGAAGAGAATGGATCAAACTCTACGCCCGAGAATTCATTCGAAAAGGTAATTGTTTGCATGTTTGACATTAAATTTATATTTGATTAGAACCCTTTTTCTGTCCACGCTGTCATTATTCGGCTTACATGAACTCATCGTCTCTACTTTTTTTTCTATTTTTTTCTTTTTTATATATTACCAGGTCTATGAACCCTGTATTTTGTCAGTTCATTGCAACAAGATGCCTATCTTTTTTAGTGGAAGATACTTTAAGGTAAGTCAATGTTTTCATGTTCTTAAGACATAGTATATTGTAACCTAGCCATTCATTTGTGTGCAAACAAATGGACTGAGAGATGACCAAGCAGACGCTAACCTCTTGTTGACGATTTATTTCAATTAATGGCTTGATCTTATCAATGCAGTACTCCAGAAATGTAAGTCAAACACGATGGATTATTGATGATGAAAGAATGGGCGAGGCATCTGTTGAGGTAGTCTCTTAGTGGTTATCTGGATTCTGGACATGTTCATATGATTCCAAAATATTATCGTGAATTGAAGAGAATTTTTTTTTTTTTTTCAGGAGATAATAGGTGGAAACATTCTTCCAGCATGCCTTGGGGATTCCTACAAGTTTCATGCTGCTGGCAGAGAAGATATTGATGTGATAAAATTTCCCTTTCTCCGATTTCATGTTTATATTCAACAAGTTTATATTGATGATAATATGAAAGAGCTCTATTCAGGTACGGATGTTGGGTTCAGGTAGACCTTTTTTGATCGAGGTTCAGAATTCTCGTCAATGCCCATCTCAGAAATCATTGACAGAAATTGAAGAAAAAATAAACAACTCAGAGAAAAAACTAGTAAGGCCTAATCAATTGAACGCATATGTTGTATCAGTTGATATGTACTAGTAATTGCAAGCTTACAAGCAGTATTTTGGCTGCAGGTCGGAGTTAAAGACCTTAGATTTATCGGAAGTCAGTGTTGGGCAATGATGCGTGAAGGAGAATCAGAGAAACAGGTCATTTTTTGTTACATCCTATCGAAATATTGTTACAACTTCAACTCAATTTATACTTTAGTTAGAAATGTAATGAAAACTAATCGAATTAACTACTCCAATGTTTTCTATATATTGCAGAAGCAATATGCTGCACTTGTATGGATTTCTCGTTCACTTGAAGAGAAAGACTTCAACTCAATTTCTTCTCTGAAAGAATTGGTAAGTCTCTCATTGCCCTTTATTTATCCTTTTATCGTTGTTTATCAAAGTATAAATCTTGGATCTAGAAGTCAACATAGGAAGAATCCGTTTTCTGTCCTCAGACACCGTTCTTTGTTCCTAATGCAAAGTGACTGTCTTCTTCTTTGTTATTATCGCTGCAGAAAATCTTGCAGAAGACACCAATAAGAGTGCTTCACCGACGAAGTCCATTGGAACGTGAAAGGACTATACATTGGTTAGTGATAATATATTAGTGAATTTAGGATTTTTCCTTACCTTGAAGTTTTCTTCTGTTTAGTAAGAGTTGGTCTTTGTGGTTCCATTACGCAGGATGAAAGTCGAAAAGATAAAAGGAAACTCTCACTACTTTCTATTGCATCTATGCACCCAGGTTGCAACATCTTCTAACTCAGCTTATTATAATGATCTTCATTTAAAAAGGTGGAAAAATTTAAGTTTTTCATTAATGCAGGCTGGAACATACATCAAAGAATTTGTTCATGGAGATCTTGGTCGTACCACTCCCAAGTATAAATAATTTAATTATCGATAATTAAATTATTTAAAGGCAACAACATATTATGAAGAATGCTAAGAAGAAAAAGCATTGAAGCATATTAATTAGAGAGTTTTTAATTTTATTTTTCGACACAATTAATTAAAGAGTTTGTTTCACTTTGATTGCAGCATGGGCTCAATTTTAGGATGCAGGGCAGAGATAATACAACTAGATGTGACTGATGTGAAAATGGGCGATTCTTGAAGTGCCAAGTTACACAATCCACAGGCTCTCTCACTAGGTCATTTTTGTTGTCTTGATTTTTATAAGAAACAAATCATTTTTTCCCCATAATTTATTAGTTTTATATTGTATTTTAATTTTTTACGATAGAAGATTACTTTGAAATAAAATTACAACGTGGATTCAGTCAGTGGTTGGGTAAAATTAGAATACTTGTACGTACTCAAAATCTTTTTCTTAGTGTATCTATATTGGATTGATGTATAAACAACACCAGATTTACCACCAAAAAAACCAGTTAAGATGCATAAACAGTTTTTAAATGTGCGAAAGAATTTTGAGACTTCAAAATTAGAATACTTGTACGTACTCAAAATCTTTTTCTTAGTGTATCTATATTGGATTGATGTATACTTCAGCTAATGGATGTTGTTTATACATCCATTAACGTGGTAGCATATCGTCCCAGCATTAGCTGAACACGGCATATGAAGTATATATATGATCTCTGTCGGTTAACAAAGTTAGACAGTAGCTCCCTCTTAAGACATAACAAGAAACTGATCTCTTCATGTCAACTTTAGTCGATCCATGAAGCATCCACCATCTTCGCCATGAACGCATATCTATCAGCCGCTTCGTCAATCTGTTACAACTCACAAACATTACACGCCACTTTCATCTTTTTATTCAATATATAAATGCTTGACAAAGTGTGACTAAACTTCGTCTAGTATATAATTTTGTATAAGAGCTCAAAGCAATCAAAATTTTATGTTATTTATATTACCATTTTTTGCGTTGGACGTCCTGCTCCATGCCCGGCTTTAACTTCAATTCGAGCAACTATAGGGTTCGTCTGTGGACTATTCTCTAAACTTAAACCTAATTCATATTGCATTGTCTGCAGAAAGCAAAACGGGTTTCAATGGAAGAGGAAGAAGAAAGAAGATGCACAAAGCAAACAAGAGAGAGACAGAGACAAACCGCAAGCAACTTGAATGTATGAAGTGGGACGACTCTATCGTCATG